CTAGAACGTTAATTAGCAGAATTTTAAAAAGATAAAAAGATGAATGAATGAGAAAAGAAAGTCGCAGAATAAAAAGGATCGTAACTTTCTACTTTTAAAACAAAAGGTATTCGATTAAGCTATAAAAAAATTTCCAATCTATGCTGGCCATCAATCATGTATCCATATCTGAGCGGAAGAAATTTCATGGTTAAGAAAAATGACTGAAAACAACACTTCCTTCTACTGCATTAATTTAAATAGACACTATAAAGCAGATAATATTTCCGACCATCATTTATAATTTATACCTTTTGCTAGGACATTTACACCAAGCTAGATGATTGGTTTTCCTTCTATAAGCAAAAAGATAATTGAGATTTAAGGCCACTTATACCGTGATGCAAGACTTTTGAAAATGAGGGAATACGAGGAAAGCCGAGAAATTTAAAATCATGCATATTATAAACAAAATGAAGCAAACTCAAGACTAATAATTTCCAAGTCAATTTCTTCTACCAAAAAAGGCTTAACATATCTCTTAAATGTCGATTATTTCTCAACTATGGAAAAATTTCTCTGCAAAGATGATGTTAGGGAATTATAATCATATTCTCAAAATCCACGGAATGAATTCAACAACACCCTTCTGTGCTGTAAACAACAGAGGGTTAAATATTAAATACTAAAGTTCAGAAAATATAGACAACCGAGTTGGTTAAGTACTACAGCATTTCTTAACATAAGAGAATCTGATTGCACGCTTCATGGAAAGACATAGATTATTGGGAAGAAAAAAAATTGTAGACAACGACTTAAACCAGAAGTTTAAGTAATTTTATCACAGCAGTCATTTCCCTGAAAACGATGTGCATCCTTGTATGATCTTTATTATAGCATTCAGAAATTCAGTTGAAAAGCCTCAAATCCTTAATGTAGAGCTAGTTATGTAAACTGCCGGAATTTCACTGGAACCAAGTAAGTTACATCGACTTACTGCATGTCTTTATAGCAAAGATCTTTTATAGGAGTTAGCAAAAGCTGGTGCTACAGTATAATAGACAGCAGTTATAACCATGTTTTGCATTTTTTTTTTTCGCTGTTCTTTTTCCTTTTATCATGATCACTGATTTCTAATTCTGAGAAATCTGCGGAGATGGTAAAAGAAACTGATAATTACCTCACAAGATGAGGTTCCTTCGAGCTAGTGTCGAAACTAACATCTCGTGCTTTTAAAGTTGGACTACCACCAAAAACGCCTGCTGGAGGTCTGAAACGTAAGCGAATAAGAAGCTAAAGAATCCAAAACAAAGACATACAAAAAAGTTTAATTAAAAAAAAGAACAACCGATATAAGACCAAAATGAAGATCTATTACAAATATAGTGGCCCTTTATTTCGTTAGGGATCCATTAATTTCGATTTCTCTTCAATTTCTTATTTTCGACCGCTTCTTAGTCATTATTGTTATTTGCACTTGCGCTATGGCTGGCTGAACAGTGCAAGGCCATACAATAAATAAATTATGAAAGTTTGTAGGTTGGTGAAAATGAATGAATACTCACACACCGCTAACCAGTGGGTAAGCCCCCGATGTAGCTTCTCCAAATCCATAACCTGCAAAAGCAAATCGATTCACTTTGAAAATTTCAATAAATGTTTTAAGTATTTTTAAAAGTCAACTACCAGAATAGGAGAAAGGTTATGCTAAATATATTGATCCACCCAAATAGCTGTTGACTTGGATTTTCTTCTAAAAGACGTTTCGTCCTCTTCTAATAAATAAAAAAAGTTGAAATGAAATCAATTATTCTCACTCACGTGTAACTGGCGGAATAGTACCTCGCAATGATCGACTCGATGAGAACATAATAGAAAGACAGATAAAGGGATAAAGGACAGTCAGATAGAGAAAGGGATAATAAAAAGCAGCTCCGATCGAAATGAAAAATGAAAATCAAACTGATAGCGAGGAATTATAAACTTCTACCGAATGACAAGCAACCAACCCGCTTTGTAGGCCAATCTGTAAAAATCGACCAGTTGATGAACATCGTATATGGAAGCTACCGTAGCGGCGCACATCCTTACAGCTAGTAACTGACCAACCGAATGGTGTGCCAATCAACCCACAACAGCAAGATAATCTGTCTTTCTGACCAACTCCCGCGGTGGGCACTTACCTACCTAACTGGTTGCTCACCTGTACTCTCCCAAGGATCGCTGTTCCCTAGAGGTAAGGAACTAAAAGACATGACCCTAGACGTATAGCAGGTTACACTTCAAGATCCCCATTTCTTCTCTATCCACTCAATTCGAGGGATATCATCACTAAGGAAGTGCAAGCAAACATGTTAGCTTGTGAAACACACAAGTGTTCAAGCAAAAGTAAGTTTTGTCAGTAACTAGAAAATATAAATGCTAACGCCAATTCGTAACTTAAAGCGGACATCTCAGTTCTGACAGTGAAAACAAATCGAAAGTATGGCAAGATATCCACGCGCAAGCGTCCCCACGTCTCCTTCCTCTCATCCCTATCCCAGCACGGAACGCAACGCTTCACCGACGTGCGCGTTAACACTTATAGTCGCGGAATGAAAACAACTGTCTAACTCACATGATAATGTACAGTTGTCTTTGCTTTATAGGAGAGGTAAATACAGTAATTCTTAAATGACTGAGATTTACCTGTTGTCAGAGTTTTGGTAATTAGAGAGAATAGCTGAAGTAGTTCAATATGTTAGTATGGCATAATATGTGTCTTATTGATAAAGGTAAGATGCGTTTTTTTAGAGAATTAAAAATTAATAATGGATGGATTATTTTAACAAATTGAGCAAGAAAATTGAAATTTTTGTTAATTTAACGAAGAAATGTAACAAATTGAGAAGAGACCATCGTGTGGTAATCAGAGTGATTAATATGCATTTATCTCGTAGGAACTGAAATTTATATCAAAAGTTTTCAGTCGATCAACAGTAAAATATGTGTATTAGGAAGAGCTCATCCACTATTATCTTTAATCAATTAGAGTTCGTTTTAGGCAATCATAGGCTAAAATTGGCTTTTTTAAGAACCATTTCGATTTTTTTTTTTTTTTTCTTTGCTTCTGCGACATTTCTGCGAACTCATTAGAAAGGACAGCAATAACAAATATATTGTAGATTATGATGTGAATATGATACAGTTTATTTCATTGGTATATCCTCTGACCTCTCATTTGCTTGCAACAATTATTACAGGCGGCGATCCAGCAATATGGGATGGCCAACAGTAAAAGAATGCTTTTCGCCAGCGACACTACGACATACCATCGGATAACGTCGCATAAATTTCTAAGTAACGTCAGTTTGGTTTTGTAAAACATAAGGAGAGAAGTTGCTGCTGAAAACAAAAATAATTAGCTATCCACGATTATGTTCCATTTTTCGTTTTTGAAAATTTGTGACAGACTGGTCAAACTTACCTGGCAAAGCAGTTCGATCCACCGATTGAACTGCTTCTTAAAAAATTTGTTCCATTCGTTTCTTTGTTCCAGTGTTTCATTCGTTTATCATTCACTTTTTCATGTTTTTCTGTTGTCCGTATAATTCGTTTTGTATTGATTGTTTTAAGTAATCCATAATTTAGTATTTGTTTTTCAAATTTCGGTTGATAAAATGTCCCAGTTTTATTGTACATGTTCATTTTATTAGTTTCGTGAGAAAGTTCTGGATAAGTATTTTCTCCAGATGATCTCAAATCATGGCGTTAAACATGCATGCTCTGAATTTTAAACTATCTCTCGAAATACTGCAGTTTGGATTTCATTTATAGCTTCCCACGCAAAAGACAGTCTTGAGTACTGCGGAAACAACCTGCACTTGATGGGATTCTGACTGGCTCATTTGCTTATCTTAATACCAAAGTTGTAAATTTTTTAAGAGCTAAGTGCCAATCAGCTGTTTCTGTGTTAGCAGTAGTACCCAACAGTGTGAGAGTAAGATAGATTTAGTTGAGATTTACGATTAATAATATGAACTGGCAAGACGTTAGTCCGAAGAAAACTCGAGTTTATTTAAGCCGATAAAATGAAGATAAATTTGTGAATAGTAGCAAGTATGGCAATGTAAAGAAACCATGAACAACGGTGGTGTTAGAATATCACAAGTGCTAAACAATAGGAATAATAAAAATTAAGCAGAAACGATGCAGAAAACGAGATGGAAGTGAATCATTTATTGAAACGGCATAGAAAGACTATCGTCGAATGGTTATTGAGACTATTGTTGAAATAGTTCTTTAAGCAAATAAAGAGAATTAAAATTGATCCGAATTAACACCTCCAAGTTGCAACTTTTAGAAAACAAAATCTATTTCAAAAGGAAATACAAGGGAGTCGCTAAAATTGGCGGAAAGATTACAAAAGTCCGTCCAGAACACTTTCTTCGGATTGCTTGCAAACATTTAACCAAAAATAGTGGTACCAGGACTAGAAAAGATTGGCATAGAATAAAAAGTTTGAAATGTGTTAATGCAGTGTTTCGTATTTCACTAAGATGCAACTATGGTTTAAGGGTATTAAAATTAGTGGATTTTAAATAGCTATAAAGCAAGACTGCAGCGGTAAGGACAAGTTGTATTTCAGTACTTCAAAACATCGGGGAAAAAGTGAAGAAAAAGAAATTCAAATATATGAACAAATGAATGAATTGGTTCAATTATCTAGAGGACAATTCTGATAATTACAGTTCAAAAATTATCAAAGATTTCGAGGAGATGAGATGAAATAACCCAAAAATTTTTGGAACTATTATTCAAAGATAAAATTGATTTAGGTAATTGGAATCGGTTCTCAGATGTTATTAAACAATGAGCTAAATGATAAATTCGGCTAAAATCTGGTGGCAGATTAAGGATATAACACATGACTAGGTTTCTAAATGCTAATGGAAAAAGAAAACCGTATCAACTGTGAATCCTGTACGACTCATGAAATATTTCAAAGTTAACAGAAATTTTGATTTGAGACGCATCTTACTTCATTCAGATGGAGGAGAGGAAGGTTCGTCATCATAAGGAGCATCGGTAAAGTTATTGCGACTCTGCTCTCCACGAGGATCCATTTCTGCCGCCAAACTAAAGTTTAATAACGCTAAATGTGTGTCACCAAGCTTCTTATGCACGCGACCCAAGAGGAAAAATACCTGAAAATTCCTCTTCATAATTAAGACCAATCGAATTTAAATTCAAGCAACCCCGTATCCATAATTTTAATAATAAGAATTCATATATTCAAATTATTAACCTTTAGTAGAAATCTCAAAAGAGAATGTCTTACCTATTTTATTTTCAATTTGGAAATACTAATGATGCTGCCTTAGCCATGAACTAACTGTTTTGACCATTTACAGTTTGTTTTGATAACTCACTGTCATTAGAATCGACAAGAGGAGTAGAAAATATGACTTCAGTTTAAAGTTATTAGTATCCACTTAATATTACGACACACTTTTTTTCGAGAATGCAAAAAAATTAAAAGCAGAGAAGTAGAGTAAAGGTCAAATAGCATGATTTATTTAATTCAAATGTGAAAACAAATCCTAAAAGAAAATGACATACCTGTGCTTCATCGTGAGCAATAAGTTTTAGATCATTTAATTCTTCCAGACACCGCGCATAATCATGCATTTCATACAGCAAACGAGCACGATAGAATCTACAAGCAGCGTTGTCTGGTGAAATCTTTAACGCATTCTGTAATAGTTCCATTGCCTGTAATGCATTTCATGTTAAGTTAATAGTTCAACTGCTTGTAACACACTTCACGTCAGGTCAACAATATAACATTCCTTAAATTCATTGAATAGTGTTATATTTTCATGCTAATGATTTCATCTTTCTTTTCCATTTCTATACCTTCCGGAAAATTTCACAAATAATGTCGCATAACATTAAATCATTACTTCTATAACATCTTTCCAAATTATAACTTCGCTGTTGTTTTCAACTATTTCTTTCTAAACTAAACTTTCAGGAACTGTTCAGCTTATACATATTGACTTTGTAAAAATTTTTGAATTACTAACAAGCAGCTGGTTGTGAATCAAGAAATTTTTATCTGATATGAAAAGTATTTATCTTTCTTGTCATTTGCGTCAATCATTATCATCAGAAAATATTGAAAACATCGAGACCACCATACAATCATTTGAGAAACAACAATATTGCGATCATTCATTCTTTCACTCCCCCTCTCTCCCTGAGAAATTCAACTTTTCTTCCTTATCTGTTTACTTTGTGAAAAGATCTGATTATTTCGGGATTGGCTGAATCATATACAGTTTAAGTGACTAAATCTTTTCTGGTTTAGTCATGGAAACAGCTAGTTGTAAATACATGAGGGATTTATGGGTATTTCTCTTTGTCCCTGAATAAATCTGAGAATTATATCAGCTGCTCGTAGCCAAATCTCTCTGACATCATTTCATTTCTTTAAGTATTTATCTAATAGAATAATATTCTCGATGCTAAAAAGTAGGAAAGAATACTTTGTCACTATACGCATTTAATGACCAAAGATGAACACGTGCGTATTTAATGACGTAAATGATATCATAGGACGACTATTCAGTGCTGCCTTTCTAGTAATATGCAATTCGGAAAATCCTGAAAGAGTACTTTTGCCTATGAAATCCACTGTAATTGTCGAGTATTTCAAATGTTCTAAACTAGTCTATCCTCCTGCATACACACACACACACACATACATACATACAAATCCACATAGATAATCTACAAATACGGTCCTCCATGGATCGTTACTCGCTTTCTTATAGGAATAATTTTCTGCTCCTTCAAGAGATTTTTTTGAGTGAATCATCGTCCATTTTAGTCTCATCAGATGGCTTTCAGATTGACAATTTCAGCAAGATTAATTGTTAGTTTGAGACGGCATCGGAAGAATGTTCGAAATCCGCCCGGCACTGCTGGAGGTCGGTCGTATCCTCTCATTCTCCTTCATTTCACTCATCCACCACGGTCAAGTGCATCTGTCCCCCTCTTCCTTGTCACGCCCCGTAGCACACACACACACACACACACATACACACACACACACACACACACACACACACATACACACGACATTTTATGAGATAGCGTTGTCGGTTTGTTTGTCTGTGTGTTATTCAACTCGTTGGTATATATGTTAGTTGCCGTTGAAATGAACTGTCGGTGATGTCTGTAAGTGTATATACGGTCTAGGTGGGTGTCACATTTCGAGATTGTCCTGCTCGAACTATAAGTGTGCGGCAATTGGAGCATTACGTCTCATCTTTCCTAGTTAATCTTTCCCCGTACTTAACGCATATTGCGAGACATCTACGCATGCTACGTGTGCACCAGAACACGTGTGTTCCTTAATATTAATATGAATTGCCATCTTTAATGCTTCATTACGTTTCTCGTCTGTTAAATAAGCTTTTCCTATAATTACTAGTTTATTTGTTTTAAGGGTGAGTGTAAAAAAAGCCATAGATTGATCTTAATTGAAGAAGATGGGTTGCAAATTGTTGGAAGTTTGCAGATCTTGAAAGTATTACCCTGGCGAATCCCTCCATTCGTCTTTATGGGCAGATAGCAATGAAAAGATACAGGTCAAGGTGATAACTGGCATTTTATACCCAATTTTGTTCACATTCTTTCTTCGAAATTTAATTGATCAATCAATTAACAGTAATGTAAGGCACACAACTTTTTTTCGTGAAATACGTTTTGCTTGTCGTATAATGTGTTTGTTATTTTCTAGGCATCACTTGTATACAGTCTGCTAACTACAACTAGGACGACGATACCTTCATCTCTAGTCTATAACTTGCCCGAAGATAACACCTCCTAAATATACGAATAGTGTAATTGATGAATTCAGTAGACCAATACAAAGTTTCGATTGGTCCAACATTAGGCTCAGCCAATCATTGTCATTCAGTGAGCCCTCAGCCATAACACATTCGTCAACAGTAGTAGTTTGTTCAATCTCGAGAATCATCTCATATTCAGAGCCATTTGATACTGTTTAATCAGTGATATATATCAAACATACTTACCTTTTGCGTTTGTTTAGCTGCTGTGAGGGAATTTTTTCGCTTAAATGAAGTCTAAAAGCCTTGCCATATTCATTTTAATCAGCGTTTTTAAACATTTTCACTTTCTAAAATTTTCTTTCTAAAAAAAATATCAAGTGAATAGGAAATTTGAAGCTATATTTCTAAAAAAAGAAGTTAACGTCAAATTTAATGAAATCACGAAAGTTACTTTTTCTAGAAAATTTCAAACTTTTTCTTTCATTGGGATTATTCATCCACATTTCATTAATGTAATTGTTTGACCATTCGTCAGCATTTTATGATGGACATAATTCGACAAACTAGTCACTCACGCTAGCATAAATTTTCATTAAAACTGGAGGAATAAATAAGGCAAACAAATCGTTATAATAAAATATACTTTCAATTTCGAACAGCACTATTGTATTTCTTCTCTGTCTTTGTAATTCAGATGATCGGAAGTAAATACCCCTGAAGAAGGCCAAATTCCACTTCAAAATGCAGTGTCAAGGATTTACTAAAGTGTTCTTTACATAATTGTTAAAAGAATATTACATCAATTGGACCATCATCTTGTACCAGGCTGTATATTTTTAAAAATAGAAGCTATACTACTTTATAGCCTGATTTGATCATCTGGATATCTGTTGATTTCAGTTCAATATGAATTTCTTAAATACAACTGAAATTTTTGCTATTTTTCACATATTAATCTGTATAAGCTTCAACAACCATTAGGAGAATATCAGTAATTAGCATTTATTCTTTCTGCTTTCTTTTTTTTTGATTAAAAAAATTGAAAAATTACTGAAGTAGAACGAAAGTGAGAAAGGGTTAGTAGGCCACTGTTTGAAAATGGCTATTGATTGAATAACTGACCACGTTGACGTGATTTTTAATTTTTTTGAAAATGAAATGTTGAAAGAAAATGTATTTATATTCGAAAATCTGTAGTAAATTTTGCATTATATTTTCACTCATTTTCTATTGTTCTCCAGGAGCCTCCAAAAATGCGTTCTTGGCCAAGAAATATTTGCTTTTGTGTTCGTTGATGGATGCCGTTTGTTGTGTGATTTATCATCCGCAACTTCGACACTATAATTCATCAGCAACAATCCACAAGTATCGCCCTCCCTTCACCATCTCTTTTCACCTTTTACCAAACAATTGATTTTAGAGCCAAGCAAGGAAGAAACACTAATAATTTACTAAATTATTTTATTTTTTTTAAAGGAATAAACTCATCTCAATAGTTATATCATTCAAAGTTCGCAATATTCAAGTTGTTACGGTAACTGTAATTAAAATTGCCATTTAACTAGAAAATGTGTTTTGAAAGTATCAGAACTGTAATTCTACTATTTTATTAAATGCGAATTTAGAGTGAGGTCAATGACATGTCAAAGAATTCTAGAGGGAAGGGATAGAGATTTCGATGGAATCTCGGGGAAGGAATAGAGATTTCGATGGAAGACAAACCCTTGCTGAACAAAGCCTTCAGTCATATTTTGTGTCAAAGATACGACATTTGCATCACTAAACACTGTTAAAATTAGTATAACGAATTGCTGTAATTCATTACAAATTACTTATGGCGATATGAAAAGAGGATAATCCTGTGCTAGTTCCGGTATTCCCTTCATACCTTTGCGGATTACATGTATGCGATTTTATAAACTGCATTTCTAATGACAAAACTAGGTTTGAAAGGATCAAAGAAATGTTGTGTATTACTCGTGAACTACTTCGTTGCAATTAATTTTGCTTTTTGCTGAATTTGCAAAATTATTTATGTTAAAGTTTCAAAATATACCGCCATTAAGTTACTTCATGCATTTCGTAGGTAATGAGAGACACTTGATGAAAATTTTACTGATTAGTAAAATTCAAAAAAAGATACTATTACTATTACCGCTACCATCACATTACAGAAGTATTACTACCGTAGGTGCCTTGACTACGGTAATCAAGCAAAAATAGCAGCAGGAAGAGAATTGAATTGACCCTGAACTCTTTAGACGGTGAGCATGCGGGCGAAAGTCCCCATTTCCTCGTTACCTTGTTACCCTCAGAATTAGGTCGTCGGTAGGGGTCACCATTTTATGAATTTCAGATTTTCGAAAGCATGAAATAGCGCAACTAGCTGTGGCTATGCATGGGTGAAAACATTCAGATCGTTTGAAGACTTCTCCTTCGCTCCCTTCCCATAGAAATATTTAAATTTTACTATTATGAATGTGGCATTTAATTTCCTTGTTTTTTTATGTGGGAAGCAAATGTGATTTTTTATTATAGCTTTGCCGAACTAAGGGAATTCATTGATTTACTCTGATTAGCACTAATTTTGATTTTGCAGCCTTTGACTAATATAGTAGTATTAAGTTATTCATTAATAGACATTATCATAAAGTTTTCCATCGTATGCTTTTATTCTACTTCTAATATTTTTCTAACCTGTAGGATTCGAATTTTCGAACAATTTACATTTCACATTTAACCGTGTTTAACAGATTATCCAACTCACTCAAATTAGTTGAGGATCATGAGATTGTACAGTATTTTAGCAATAACCAATAGACTTTAATTTAGAGTCGATAAAAAAGATTTCTCCTGCTTAACGGTTCCATTCACTGAACAGGCATTTATGCAAAATGATAGTGAAATCATTTATTATAAATTAAACTGATGTAAATAATTCACTTTTTATCAAATTAAACTATTCTTCGTTAGTGATATATATATATATATATATATATAATTTAAGCATAAAATTAATGGAATAAATAAAAAAGGAAATAGATATAAACGAAGTAACTTTAATGTAATCGCCGGAAGACTTAATTATTCGGTTGAAGATGGGCACCGAGCAGTTGGAATGGCTTTTTATGGGTGCCATTTTGAGGTTCTGTTGATGTTTTTTGCTTCAATGATCTATCTATCTATCTATCTATCTATCTATCTATCTATCTATCTATCTATCTATCTATCTATCTATCTATCTATCTATCTATCTATCTATCTATCTATCTATCTATCTATCTATCTATCTATCTATCTATCTATCTATCTATCTATCTATCTATCTATCTATCTATCTATCTATCTATCTATCTATCTATCTATCTATCTATCTATCTATCTATCTATCTATCTATCTATCTATCTATCTATCTATCTATCTATCTATCTATCTATCTATCTATCTATCTATCTATCTATCATATCTATCTATCTATCTATCTATCTATCTATCTATCTATCTATCTATCTATCTATCTATCTATCTATCTATCTATCTATCTATCTATCTATCTATCTATCTATCTATCTATCTATCTATCCTATCTATCTATCTATCTATCTATCTATCTATCTATCTATCTATCTATCTATCTATCTATCTATCTATCTATCTATCTATCTATCTATCTATCTATCTATCTATCTATCTATCTATCTATCTATCTATCTATCTATCTATCTATCTATCTATCTATCTATCTATCTATCTATCTATCTATCTATCTATCTATCTATCTATCTATCTATCTATCTATCTAATCTATCTATCTATCTATCTATCTATCTATCTATCTATCTATCTATCTATCCTATCTATCTATCTATCTTTCTATCTATCTATCTATCTATCTATCTATCTATCTATCTATCTATCTATCTATCTATCTATCTATCTATCTATCTATCTATCTATCTATCTATCTATCTATCTATCTATCTATCTATCTATCTATCTATCTATCTATCTATCTATCTATCTATCTATCTATCTATCTATCTATCTATCTATCTATCTATCTATCTATCTATCTATCTATCTATCTATCTATCTATCTATCTATCTATCTATCTATCTATCTATCTATCTATCTATCTATCTATCTATCTATCTATCTATCTATCTATCTATCTATCTATCTATCTATCTATTATCTATCTATCTATCTATCTATCTATCTATCTATCTATCTATCTATCTATCTATCTATCTATCTATCTATCTATCTATCTATCTATCTATCTATCTATCTATCTATCTATCTTTTATCTATCTATCTATCTATCTATCTATCTATCTATCTATCTATCTATCTATCTATCTATCTATCTTCTATCTATCTATCTATCTATCTATCTATCTATCTATCTATCTATCTATTTATCTATCTATCTATCTATCTATCTATCTATCTATCTATCTATCTATCTATCTATCTATCTATCTATCTATCTATCTATCTATCTATCTATCTATCTATCTATCTATCTATCTATCTATCTATCTATCTATCTATCTATCTATCTATCGCTTTTTACAATTAATGAAACGATTTTGTTGAGAGTGTCCAAAAGAACAACCTGGATGAGAGGAACTTTCATAAATTTAATTCTTATATCTCACCGTAGCATTCATCATCAACTCTTCTCATATGGCTTCATTACTTCTTCGCACTACTCTGATCGGAAAGTTCTTCCTATCTTGTCCTAAGCACTTAAGGATAATAACTAAGAATTCTGTTAGTTGATATCTTCAGCATTGCTATCATTTCTTCTTGCCATATTGCCAACCGTTGTTGTGTCGTCATTTGAAATGTAAATAGCTTTTCAGAAGAAAGTAAAATGGGACGAAAGGCTTGGATGTTTGGAGTAGATAATCAAAGAAAGGATTATATTTGAGGATTAGAGTAGTCCTACATAGAGTGAAGCAAGATGCTTCTAGGCTACGGTATCTCAGTGACTGAGATTGAGGCACCATTGCAAGCTTAGATATTCATTTCCTAATATCATGAGTACTTCATAAATTTAATCCAGATGGGGTTTTGGTTTTTTTAAAAAGAAAGCTTTAGAATTCATGTTGATAACTAATATTCTAAAATTTCAGCTTTTATTTACTCACCAAATCAAGTCTCGGTGTTATGAAATAATGTCAGTGAGATAAGTAGGTAGAATGATAAACGAGAATACTATCAGAGATAGTAGCTTTGGCCACATTTATCACCAGCAAGTCTATGTAAAAAAAATCTATCAAGCAAATTGCTTCTTTTTTATAAATATTTGGATTTTGCTGAGTTTCGTAAAATATATTTAACAAACATGGAAGAATGCTATTGATTAGACAAAGATTGTCCAAATATTACTTTATGAGAAAGGTGTTGTATGAGAATTCTTAGTTAGAATGAGTTAGTCTAAAGTGAATACAAAACTAAGTATCCTATCTTTATAAATAATAAAAATTTAGTAACTGTTATCGATGTTTTCATAAGCTTTTATGTTTGATTTCGTAGTGTAGTGAAAGTTTCATTTGAATACAAAGTGTGTAAAGTTGTGATTACCTGCTGAAAATGCTCATAAAGAGCGACAAGCTTAGTTTATGTAATTTAGTACATCTTACATGAGATAAGGTGTTACATAATTTAGTTTACAGTATTTGGCATGAAATAATCATGTAAGTTACCATGCTTGAACTAAAAATATTTGAACATTCAAATATTAATCCGTCCAAATCAACAGTGGCTAATTGTATTTTAATTTTTTTTTTATCATAATTCATTCATTGATTTGGTTTAACAAAATGTTAAAATCTTTCTAAAAATTGAACTTCCAGTCTACCTGTAATCCAGCAGCATAGTAAATGCCATTTATTTATTCTTTCATCAAAATTTAACAGTTGCAAAAAGTTGTTTCATCTGGATATTTGCATAGGTTTATGTTTGCACTTATACCGCACGCATCTCGTGGATGCTTCTTCATAATTCATGTTTTGAAAGGGAAAAGAAAGAAACATTTACCTAAAGGAACAAAACAAATTTAACGTAACTGATTGATGCTATGCAAGCTAAGTTTAAAAAACAAAAGCTTAAAAGATGCTAACAAAATGGAGAAATCTTCTAATCGTTGACTGAAGTCATATATCGTTTGCATATTTCGTTTTACTTATCCCAGGACTTTTTGTTCCTTGTAAAATTCGATAAATTACATTAGAAATTTACAGGCTGTGGTATTTATGCAATTATGGCGTCAATTCTCATATGATGTTGTAGTCGTTAAATAAAGATAATTGCTACTCTGAAGTTGACATATGCAAAATTGAGACTTTACTTATTTTCTTCTCTGAACCTAATGTATAGTATATTGTTTGCACATTTCGTTTTACTCATCTCAGATTCGTTTTTTTTTTTTTTTTTTTTTGTTCTTTGTAAAATTCGATAAGCTATAGAGCATAAAAAATGAATGAAATGATGGCATTTTTAAGTTAGCGTAATATTTTCACTAACATATGTCAACTATTTTAAAAAAAGCCACGAATATATGTAAAGTGAATATAAATACATTTTATAGCAAAATGTTTTCTTAAATTATAAAGAGCATCAATTCCAAACAAATTGAATTAACTAAATAATTTGGCTTCGATCTCTGCATTAGCACTATCCTTCAATAACAATTTCTATAAGCTATGAATTAAAAGTTTCCTTTCTATGGCTGTAATTTCTCTAAAGAAACAGCCTAGACTGTGTTAAAATGTAATATAAATATATTATTATTTGGTCGTATCTTCCTGAATACATTGCGATATACTTTAAAAGTAGGTATGGCAGTACTCATTTTATTTCAAATTAATTGAAGTAAATCAAAAAATAGGAATTCTTCATTGTATGCATTAAGCTACTACTCCATACTTTGGTTTCGGGAAGGGAAGAGATAATTATATTGGCTTCCGAGTTAAATGAGGTGGGCTGCTTCCAGTATCACTCCCGAGAGTACGGTATTTTGTGATGCGTCTACATTCTCGATCAATACGGCACTCAGACTTTGCTATACCATTGTCAGATTAGATGTGATCTTGCAGGAAGCAAGGCGAAGAAAGAAACTGGAAGAGAACGATCAACCGACGTGTTCATCGCTGCTACTGCTGCTGGTGCTGCTGGTAGTGGTGTTGGTGGTTCTGCTGGTGCTGCTGGTTCTGCTGGTGGTGGTGGTGTTGGTGGTGGCTCGAAGTGTTCAGCTACGAGTCGTTTCAACTGCTGTTGCCTATTGGAGGAATCCCAGGCCGAGAAGCTCTGATCCACGACCTTTGCCCCGCCCCGAGGCTAAAGTGTCGTCCAAGAAAGAGATAAGAAGAGAAGAAAGTCGGCAACCAACAATCTGTTCAGCTTCTGTCTCTCATTCCATTTCCGTTCCCTGTTGCTCTTTCTGCTGCTGTCACTTCCTCTTCCTGTTTTTACAGTTTAACCTTTACCTAATAATTTAGAAATAAAAACATTGTTTCCGAGTTTCCTGATTACCTGGCGGGAAGGACGCCACTTGCAACATAATAAAAAAGTGTAACGTGCAGGAAGCGATAAGAAGTGCATGAAGAAAAAGCAATGGAAAGAGGAACACCGTGTTCCCCCCATGGAAATGTCCGTACCCGTAGTCAGTTCCTCTTGGATGGATTCCAGTATCAAAAATCCAAGTACCAGCAATCCGGATGCTAACGCCCAGGTAACTTACTAGCATATCCAGAAGTATTTTTGTTGCTGGTAGTAAGTATTATAGCTGATATTATTTATTATAATTGAGTAAGTATTATAGTGTTGTAGTTGGCTGCAACTTAAATTTTTTGAATTAATTTTGGAAATTATGTGTAAAATAATTTGGAGGAATCACGATCATCGTCTGGTGCAAGCAGCTCTGACTCGAATAGCGGTGTTGCTAGTGGTAGCGGCGGTGCTGTCCATCCGGACAATTCACCAATTGACAAACAGTTATTGCTTGGTACTGAATGTGTAGTTTGTGGTGATAAATCGAGTGGCAAGCATTATGGGCAGTTTTCATGCGAAGGATGTAAATCATTCTTTAAAAGGTATCCCAACCTCCATTTTAATATCTCAGTTGTGTCATGTTTGTTACAATGAGCTTGTAGTATCATAATTTGCTCTTCAAATTTATTTTCGTTATAGGAGAAAGATAGAAAACAAATCTTGTGTAACTAAAATATAGTTATTCCATTTAAGGAGGATATACATATATACATATATATAATCACTAATTTAAAAATCAGTGTGTACTTATGGGTAATAATGGTTAATATCATTTCGTTTGGTGAAAATTTTTGAAATTTACTTTTCATTCAAAACTTCCGATTTTCTTGTACGTTTCTAGTCGTATTCATAGTTGATTAATATTTAGTTAAACCATGTCATCGATGTGACATGTAGTCATTATTCTTAAATAAAAAATGAAAATAAATCTAAGCATGCAATTAATAATATGTGCGTGAGCATGTCATTTTTACATTGTTCAGTCTTTTTTCTTATTACTTATCTGTACGTGTTATTTTTAAAAATTTGCGAAGCCTATATTTTTCGATTTGAATTAGTGGAAACTCAACTTTTATGCTCTCATTAAAAATGAGAAAGTAAGGTCCATTATCAATGGTTATTTTGAGAAGTGCTTTTCCATGTGCATTGCACTATTATGTTTAACATTTGTTGCACTTTGATCATTTCATTTAATGATTTCGTTATTCTAAGAGTTTAGAAATCATGGAAAAAATGAGTTTCATGCTTCAGATCAATAAGACGAAGCCTTAATTATACGTGTCGCGGTTCCAAGAATTGTCCAGTGGATGTGAATCATCGAAATCAGTGTCAGTATTGCCGTCTGAAGAAATGTGAAAGAATGGGAATGCGCAAGGAGGGTTCGTCTTGCCTTATATTTAATATTTGTTTTTGGTATTTAACAATTGTTCGTCTAGTTAATCTTTCGCTAACCTCACTGCTACAAGAAAACATCGTATTTATGTTCAGTAATTAGTCAACCACTTTCAATATCCACTTGTCGAGCTACCAGCGCGAAAATTTGTTATACCACAAGTGCCATCCTGCGCCCAGCACAATATCTTTTAACTTTGCTAGCTTTCCAAATAAATTTTTTGTGATTAAGGAACCTTCTTACCTATTTAGCAAAAATTGGCAAGTTTTTCTAAATATTTTTTTGTCAGCAACATTTATGTCCTTTTTAGGTTAATTTTTAAAAGTTCAATTTAAGTAAAACCTTCAAAGATTCACAACAAATTATTTTATTCAAACAGTGCGCTATTTGTGCCCCATTTATATACAATAAGCGATCTGGTAGCTACCAGATTTGAGTTTGAAGGAGTGAATGTATATGTGCGAGGAAGAATTGCATCTTAAGTTCAGAACCTAAACTGTTTATCAGTGTCTACTTCTTTTTCTTTTGTTAAAGTTATTCCTCATTTGCTTGGTCACCATTCACTTTGTTCATTTAATTAAATCATTCATGTGTAATGCAAATGATGATATTTAACTACTGTTTGGTAAAGGATTGTCAGTTTAAGATGGAAGCTTCATATTATCAGATTGCTATGTGGTATTTGAACATTTTGTTTTTGCTATTCATGTGGCAGAAAGGAATTCAACGAATGAGGCACCTGTTGAAAAATGACACTCGTCAAATGAGGCAGGCACTATTTACGAACAAATCTTTCAGCAGTGCAACGCGGAAGGATACCACCAAATGCGCAGCATGCTTATTCCTCCACAGTTCTTTTTGGCGAACAATTGCTGACAGTAAATCAGAGTGTCGGTTCCCATGTTTCATCCATTGTGACGCATCTCATACACGCTGAACCATATCCGCCCATCGCTTGTAAATGCTTTTACTATTTATTTATTAATTCTCATCAGATGATGACAGAGTAAAGGTCATTTCAGATTTTAATCTTAGTGTTTCTGTTCTTTGGGAAGAATTGTAGGTTTTCAGTGACTGTTTGATTAATAGAGATATGTTTTATTGAGGTATAAGTTCGTAATATTTCAGATAAAGCTTTTATAACTACTTAGCCTAATGTTTTCCATGTCATCATTCCTTTGTTCTTGAAGTCATTCTCAGGATTAAATTCTTAAAGAATTTGATCTGCTACTAAATCTTATTTCATAACAATGATTTCACGTAACACTTGTTTGAATGTTTATTAGTTAATTTATCCTAAGCAATGAAAAACATCTGATCTCCGTCGAGTTACTCTCAGAATCAAGCTTTTGAACCAAAAATGATATATTTACAGCGATAATCTGAAGAAGTTGTTTTAAATGCAGAATTTACAAATAATTAAAGATTGTAATATTTTTACTAAATATTGGTTTAGCTTGGGCGATCAAATATAATCGCTTTAACATTAAATAAGGCTGTTTTCTTACTATGTGATCTGTTTAATGAAGCATCCTTTTTTTCCTTTCTAAAACAGACTCATATCAATATCGTGATTAATACATTAAGAAAGAGAAAGCACAGTCCAGAATTGCATAAATGAGGTTTAGAAAGGCTTATATATTAACTCTGTTTAGTTGAATCTTTCAGCAGAAAGTTATGTGTCACAAAAGCGTTCTCACAAAGAATTCTCTTATACTGGAAATTCAACATTTTGTTAAGTTAGAAGTTTCTATAAACACTTTTCTTCCCTAGCTGAATATTTTGTTTTTGAAATTAATCCATATATTCATATAAGGTAGTTCAATTCATCTCGGCCATTTTTGATTTTGAAAAAAAAAGTGAATGGTCCGTCTCATAAATTTTAAACAAACAGTATTCTAGGAGCTTTCTGAAATACTAATTACATGAAGTTAAAATTTAGCAAGAATTTGACGAGACTATATGAGATTCAAAGGAGGCGATTCTTTGCCGCTGGTGACCCTTAGTGATCGTTGTTAATCTGAATAGTGGTAGGGCACCTCAAAAATGGATGATGGTTAGGAAACATACTTTTATAAAACAGATAACTTGTTTCTAATATTTTAAAGGATATAAGGAGTTTCAGTTTCTTAGGCATAATTCACTCGTTTAATACTTCCTAGTTTAATTCCCTCTTATGACTTAATGAATAAATTCAATAAATGAACTTAATCCTATGTTAATATTGTGGAATATACATCATAGTATATCTAATGTTAAATGAAGATGATCATTTGGTATTAAGTGATATCGTTTGTTTTCATCAAATTTTTTATACCAGTCAGTAGGTAGTATTTTTAAGACTTAAAGAAATGGTTATAACAGTTGGTTGAAATTTTGGGACAAAATTCTCTTAATATCAATTATTTTTCAAGATTTTTAAATACTGTGAATATTAAGTGTGTAATAAAGTCTACTAAAAGAAAATACGATTTTGTTCATTGGCAAAATTGAATGGGTTCCTCGTACACTCTCTTAAAGCTATTCCAGGTAGCTCATCGTCTAGCTCAATTGGGATGGATAATATCTATGAGTTCGGTGCCAAGTTATTGTTTTCTGCCGTTGAATGGGCTAAGAATATCCCATTCTTTAATGAGCTCAGTGATACTGATCAGGTACACTCTTTTGTCATTTATTACATCGAAATCAAAATCAACGCAAGTAGCATAGATATCTCTTAGCTTTTATTCTATCTAGTTACAACACTTGCAATTCTTTTTCTTGCAAAAAAAAAAAAGAAATTTTCTTATGTTATAATACTTAATTTACAGTTAAAATAGAGGCGGAAGTAAGTTATTATAAGACATTAAAACATTTTACAGAACTTTTTATTGAAATAGCAAATCTTTTACTTGAGTTGTTTGCTTTTTTCCTTTTCTTACAAAAACAATGTTTTATAGTTGACACTACTTCGAGCAAGTTGGGCTGAGCTGTTCGTGATAAATGCAGCGCAGTTCGGTATGCCAGTACACGTTGCACCTTTACTTGCTGCTTCTGGTTTGCATTCTTCTCCTCCCTTACCAACCGATCAACTAGTTGTATTCATGGATCGGATACGTGTTTTCCAGGTTATTTTATCTTTGTTTTCGTCGTTATTACTTCGAACAAGCAAATGTCGTGAATATCACTTATTATATAGGAGTTCCCTTATTTCAGTTTAGGTTTTAGACACATAGAAACTGCACTGTAATCATTTTGAGTTAGATAAGTCTATTTTGATGAAGTAGAAAGAGGAAAAATAAAACAAATTCTTTGCTCGCTTCCAAAAGTCGTTTTGTGACTTTATTTATGGTTTGATGTCAAATTGATATGCAGTCAGATCAAGAAACTAATGTTTTTTAAACACATAGTACGTGATTTTTGGTTTATTTTAGGGTCAGATCGAACGTTTAAAGGCACTGCAGATGGACCTAGCCGAATTTTGTAGTCTGAAAGCAGTTATATTATTTAGTGTTGGTTAGCATTTTGATGTTTTATTTCTGTTTCTATTTTTTATTTAAATTGTGCTCATATCTTAAGTTTTTAGGACATGCAATTTAGAATGAAATTCCGATGGAAGAGATCTTTCTTGAATGACCATAGATAATGTAAGGACTTTACACTGGTAAAGACTTTCTTTTCAATCATTATTTCTCTCATATTGGACGTTTTACTCACCGTGGATAATAACAGTATTTTTGTTTGAAAAGTACTTCATTCATTTTCATACGATTTAAAAAAAAAAGGAATACTGAAGACATTTGATATGCCTTCAACGACATGTATTGCTATTAAAAATTTGATTGATGGTCTCAAATATGGGATATATTATATGTAATGTGTTAAATACATTGGCAATGGAAAAATGTCAAGGGCTGAGAAAATGCGTTAAGGAAAAGGTGAAAGGCCTTAAAATAGGATGTTGAAAGGAGGCCTTAGAAAAAAGAGGTAAATAGGTCAATAAAGTGCTGATTTCTCTACACCCAATACAATTGAGATATATTTTCACCAAAGCGAACAAACAAATGGATCATTGCGACGGAATGACAACATCAGTTGAATTGCAAAAATGACTCATAACTACTTTAATTGAAAACCCGATCACATAGAAATGAATTTCAAGTTTAAAGACAGGATTTCCAATCTAATTTTAGTCAGTTTCAATTTAGCCAGTATCAGTTTCAGCAGTACGTGCAATGATTCTGTGGCTACAAACTATCAGTTAATGACGGGGTGAAATAACGCATCTTTGAAAAGAGAAAATCGTATGATTCTGATTACTGTGTTCACGTTTGACATAGCACAACAGTCGTGTATCTATGACACGTAGTATAGTGATGGTCCGTTTTAATTGTTAAAGCTTTCTGCAATATTCAATTTAGTTGCAGTAGATGACTATAGAAATATTAGAGCCTTCAGTTGGTACAAATGGTATCTTCTCCCTTTCGATGAATCAGTCATCATTTTTGCATATTGGAATTATTTGTTTTTAATTCACTTTTAAGAAATAGCACCGGAAATATTTAGGATGTGAAGAAAGAGAAAGGAGGGAAACTATCAAAATTCTTTTTTAATGTTTCACATAAAATGAGGCAGGGAAAAATAACATTATGTGCTGCGGTACTGTGATATACGTTGCAGTTTTTTTCTTATTTGCGTGTTTTGATTTCTGTTTCGAAAAGCATTGTTTGAAACAGCTGCGCTTCGAACTCATTGGATGGTGTGTAATTTTATGATTTATTTGTGTACTCGTTACACCACTGTCAGGGATTTTCTGTGGCTCTGTGCAGGCTATTATTACGATATAGAGCTTAATATTTTTGTGTATCTAAACAGATAAGACGAAAAGTGGTGATAGGAAAATATGGAAAAAGAAGGTAATTTAATAGTTTAAAGCTTTTAGGTTGTTTACAAGACCGAAATTTTTTGCAGACTGTTGTGGGTTGAATGATGTTATACGAGTGGAAACGATACAAGAAAAGGTTCAATCGGCATTGGAGGAATATTGCAGAACACAGAAGCAATTACAAGTCTGTTTTTAATTGCTGGAGGAAAAAAGAAAAGGAAGGAATTTTATAAGGTATTGTCTAGTTATTTTTTGTAATTTTCAATTGATTTTAGGTCGGACGATTCGGTCGTTTGTTGTTACGATTGCCGAGTTTAAGATCGATCAGTGCATCTGTAATTGAACAGTTATTTTTCGTGAAATTAGTTGGAGAAACACCGATCGAATTTCTACTCAGGGATATGCTTAGAACACAAAATGAGAATGTTATCAAACCATTTGTTTGGCCTTGTCAGCTTCGTTCATGATCTTTTTTACGCCAGATAATTATAAAGAGTTCCTGCTTGTTAGGTTTTGTTTACTTTTCTGGCATATAATTGGACTTTACAGTAAAAATATTTTGTAGAGATGAGAGAAGTGTTTATAAATCTAATGAAGTTTCAGTACTGCTTAATTTTCTGTAAATTCAGATCAATGTCTTTCAGACTATGACGGGTACAGTTATTTTTCCTTCTGGTTGTAAATTCTTCGACGAAAATAAGAATATTCCGTCATAATCAAATGTTAGATCGTTTAAAGATTCTCAATGCCGGAGATACCTAAGCCACTATTCTTATTAACTTTTGATTGAAAAATTGAAGTTAACATATTGCAACTTCTTCCACATAGTGGCTTTAATTATAAAATATACTAAAGGACACTTTTTTTGAAGAGAATGATAAGCAGTTAGAAATATCTCAGTTTAAAAAATTGAAAGGATTAAAACTCAACTTTTTAGTTCATTTATTTTCTGTAAAAAGTAAAATGTATGCATTAATAGATTTATTAAGATTAATTAGGTATTCACTCAAGCGATCAAAAGCAGTGTTGTTCTTTTATGTGCGTGCAGCTTTTATATTCAAGCAATTGTTCAAAGTTTCTGTGTCAAATTTGTTTTCCTAACTCATTTGTATAAAATTTTTTTGAATTCCAAATTGTGTTTTGTTTGTCTATTTTACTTTTTTTTTCTTTGGTTTACTTACATTTCCATGTGAATTTATTTTCTTTTTTTTCGCATATTTCTCATTTACTCCTCATTTTCACTCTTTTTGTGTTTCCTGTAGTCCCACAAAAATTTCGCTTATTTCTTTCTTGGTTCATATTTGTCATTTTTTCTGTTTATATTTCAATATAGCCAAAGTTTGCTCTATACGATATCAGACCGGTTTTTTTCTTCCGTTTATGTTTAGCGGTAATTTTGCTTTGGAATGTGCAATATTTTTTAAGCTACTCTTGTACATTTTATGTGGATACTTAGGTTATGGAAATGGTTATTATTTCATATATACTTATCGTCATATATACTATTGAGAAGGGAGGAAAGCGAAAAAAGGAAATTAATTTTATTTGGTGACATATGTATCATAGATTGTTTAAACCTACCTTAGTATTTGCGAATCCACTAGTCTTTGATCATGTTTTCAGTTCCACTTTTATTATTTGTCGTGCCTGGTCCGATATGCGTTGTTTTGGTTCATATAATTTTTTCTAGTTTATGTTTGGCTTGAATTACCCGGCTAATCGCTTTCTAATAAAAAAGTCATTGAAAAGACAACGTTTGAACTTTAAGCATGCAAGGGAGGCTTGATGCTCATTGTCTTCTCCTCGTATTGTTTGTAATATTTATGTTGAATATGTCTTTTTAATTGTTTGTTTAGAAATAGTAAAGGTTGTAAAGTCATTACATTTCTGAGATCGAAAACTGAAACCATGAAGCATGCAAAGGATTGATGAAGTCTCTCTCAGTTTGTATGAGAGAGGGCGAAGTACAGTAGAACGAATAGTAAGAAAGGTTCCTAATTACCAAGGATGTTTGAAGGGCAGGGTAAACAGATAATATTTTTCCTGTAAGATGGGTATTTATTATAGATATTACTAATTTCATTCATAGAAGTGAAGTAGATTGGGATGGGTGAAGCGGTGTAGAAAGGAATGAAAGTTTCCCATTTGACGGAATTCTGAGAGCAAGTTAATTTTGATTGAGTTCCTGAGAAATGTATAGATATGATATAATTTGATATAGAGTTGAGAATAACTAGCGATAGTTGTTACAATAGAGAATATATTTTTAACTCAGTAATTCTTGATAATTCACGTAATAACCTACGGCACGTGTCAGTAAACACTTACGCTTAATCTGGTTCTTCCAAGGTTCGAAACAGTAAAGAAATGGGAGTAGACGGGTGTTCGTTTAATTTATTTTTCTCAAGATTTCCAAGAAGATATGGGAAATTGGAAGTCTTTCTACGGAAATCGATACAGCAAGCGTTGCAACTTATCATACGTGTCAACCTGACATGTCCATTCATTGTTTGACTCCGTCAGAATAGAAAAAGAATGGAATAGAAAGCAGAACAGGAATAGAATAAGAAAGTGAGCCCAGTCTGTAAGTTGAATCGATTTATGCCGATTGTTATGTGATGATCATGCGTGATACTCTCATTTCATCCCATTTCATTCCGCTGCTCTAACTTTGCATTACGTGACATCACGTGACCCTCCCAGTGTTTTTGGTACGCTAAGTAAAGTTTCACCTTAGCATGAGGTTAGTTAGTATGGAACACTTTGATTGCTGAGTGTCTTGACTTAACTGAGCGGTATCGGTCTTGTCTCTCTCTCTCTTTCTCTCATTTCATTTAAATTCTTGGTGCTATTGTCATTAAACATCCATTGCGTCATATCCGCTTCTATTACTTAATCTCTCTCAACATTAGTACCATTAACAAGGAATACCAATTCAGTCATGTTTTGTTTCATTTCACTTACAACTTTAATCGTCATTTGAGATACATCAAGCATTACTGACTTGTGTCGTACAGTGGAGAATGTCTTCTAAGGGTATCTATACATAATCATTCAAAATACATTATCGCATATAAAGAGATAATAGTTTTTTTGTATGTTTAGCTTTAATGCCTGTATCTTCCCCTCATTTTTTAGTTTTCAACCAGTTTTGCTGCGAAATATTTGGAAAGGTGACAGTATACTATGATTTTTATTAATATTTCAAGCATAGTTTATTGATTCTTAACCTTTGAAAACTTATTTAAAATCTCGAATCTAAAGCATAAGATAACTAACTAATATTATAGGATTCACATGCTTGTGCTCTTCCTTTTTATTTGTTAAATCGATATGCCGTTTGGACACTGTTGTCATAAAAAATGACATGACAAAGCAACGAACAATGCTCCAAAATTTAGGCAGCAAATCAATTGGAGAAGAGATCTGAACACTTCAAATTTTACAAGATAGTGAAAAATTCGAAGTGGATGGACTGTGACTCTTGTCATTTAGCTATTTCATTTGCTATCGTTTAGAAAGCAGAAGACGAAATGATATGCTTCCTGTCAACTAGAAAGGGATTTTCTTTCATTGTTGCAGATGTTGATATCATTTTGCGCTTCATCTCAAAGTGGGTAGGCGTTATCGGATGACGAAAGCTTTTTATATTTAATAACTTGGCTATATCATCGTACAGCACAGCGTTTACATTAATTCCTGTCCTTTTTCTTCTTTTTAATATAAGTTTTCTTAATTTTTAATTCTACTACTGTATTTCTTTACCAATACCATTTGTTCTTTTCTTTTTTAATATTTTTCCTTGTGGTTTTCTGTCCAAGGTCCTAGCTTCTTTTCCGTTCTTCTCTTTCTTGTTGGGTCTATTTCGATCTTTCATAGAATTAAGTGTTAAAAAACAAATTAAATGTTAGTAATTAATTTGTTAATTAAGACAGCTATTTAGCTTGTATCTATACTATTCCATAGAACCGCATTTTGTTTTGTTCTTCATATGCTTAAAGCAACAATAATGTTGTCTAACTCATAAGTTGTTAATTAATGCCAACAATTTAATTTTTCATCACCATATGTGTTGCAGTGTCAATTTTCAACTTCTCCCTTTTTTGCAGTTTTTGTGGTTTCAGTTATTCAGATATAATGACAGAACGTGCTACGAAATCTGGTTTGGCGTTAGAAGCGCAGCGTAAAATACGTGAAAAATATGATAGTGAATTGGCTGGACAACTTCTTGAATGGGTTGCCCAGCTCACCGGAAAAAGTTTTTCAACCGATGGCGATGTTAAAAATTTTTTGGGGGTCTTCAAAGATGGCACGGCATTGTGCAGGTAAACTAAAAATCTCGTTCGAGATGTTTACAAGCTATCAAAAAGTTAGTCTTCCAAAAAGATTAATATCAAAAAGTTAATCATTCACTGTTTGCATTTATTCATAAATATATAGTCAAGTTTAAGAAGTCTAAATTGTTTCAAAAAAGAATTGAACGGTTGCCTTAAATAATAAAAGAAAATATCGAGAATACCTTCTTTAAATAGTGAAAAACACCGGAGCATCACAATTTCATGAGAGAATTGGACATGAGAGAATTGGACATGAGAGAATAGGAAATCATTATTTTGGGAAGTTTACTTGGTTTCTTGAGAACAAAATAAGAAATGTTTCAGCCTTGCAAATGCCTTACAGCCAGGTTCAGTGAAGAAGATTAACACTAGTGCAATGGCTTTCAAACAAATGGAAAATATTTCATTCTTTTTATCGTTCGCCGAGAAACATATAGCTAAGTCAGAACTTTTCCAAACAGTTGATCTATTCGAAGGTCAGGATCCAAATGCAGTTGTTGTTTGCCTTTCATCATTGGCCAGAAAATCTGAGGAACTGTTTGGAAAGCCTGGATTAGGCCCAAAGTTAAGTGAAATTTTAATTCTAAATAAAGACAATAAAGAATAGTGAACTCTATTAAAGAATAGGCATAATCAATAAAGAAATTAATTAGTGATCCTGAAAAGTAGGTCGTATTTATATCTAATTATTATTTGTAGACCATCCAAGTTCCATAATTTATATCCTTCTTTCCTCTGAAAGATTGCTTATTGTTTCCGATTCATTATTACTCCATCTTTTATATACATATACTAAAGAAAGCTGTAGTGTCAATTGGCAACGGTTTACTCTCTGCCGTTTCATGTTGCCTTGAATATGTGAATTGAGCCATATATATTTACCAATTTATATTAGTTTGTCTCTTGATGATTTGACTTTAGCAAATAAGTTTGCAAGTAGATTAACTGTTTAAGAGAATTAAATTCACAGAACATTAAAAAAGCATATGTTTGAAACATCATTGAAGTCCAGAACGAAAGGTAAGTACAATAAAACGTTTGGAGCATTAATACAAGCCATTTTAAGTCACGTTTTCAGAAATATTCATATATACGATAATCAGAAATTGCAGATTTTATATAATGCAAAATGCAAGTGCAGACTCATCGCATTTAAGCACTTCTTTTTTAGATGGAGTGCAATCAATGACAGTTTTAGCATACATGAAACTCAACTTGAATGTTTCATCAGCTGTATTTTCAAAAATTTCTTTTTCTGTGATAGCAAAAATACAAATGCACCCACAATTTTGTGATATTTCATAAAGAGATGTGATCAAAAAAGTCCTAAATGCGTTGCTAATCGATAATTCGGACTTATCCCGTTAGCTTGAATGTATTTCATAGCTGAACTTTATGGACAAGCTTTAGTGATGTGTGACTACTACAAATAAATATTATATTAACAAAACAAAACTTTCTATAAATAATCAAATAATTTTTTCTGTGTTGATTTTGGACTACTGCGATGACAATCATTTAAGCTATTGAAGTTTTTGACTTAACATTTAAGAATTTCATACTCATTGATGTTTCTTTAGGAGGCAAAAGGGGAGAAACGTGAATGGTCGGAAGAAAAGCTTCGAGCTGGCGAAACAATTATTGGACTTCAGATGGGTTCAAACAAAGGTGCGAATGCATCCGGTATCAACATGGGTAACACACGTCATATATAAAGCTGTAAAATCCTAAAAATATTGTTTGAGCACCACCATCAGAAATTAATGAGTAGAGAAGAGGGAAGAAGAGAACGAGAGAAAGGGAAAATTCAAATTAAAGTTTTTAAAAACTGTCTTCAGGTTGGCTGATTGAAGGGCATAGCTTAATGTTAAGAAGTGTTGTAAAGCAACGGTATTATAAAAAGAAATCTCAAAATTTATCAGCGTTTTTCTCAGACACTTCTACTTATGAAAATTAGGAAGTTAGCTTACACATATCCTCGGGGCGGTATTATTTTATTATAAATTAGTATATCATTGACAGAAGCAGACATTGCATTTTACGGGAATTCATGCTTAAAGATGTGATCGAGTATTAATCTTCCTTTTCACTGAGTTATGCATCAAAGTGTCACCTAGTGATCCTGGTGAAGTGCCAAAGGAGATTTGCTTAACACTGATGTAACTAACTGTTGCTGGTGCTCACATGCATGTTAACTCTAACTAATGCACGTTTGTCTTTTTGTTGCATTCCGTCCTTCTGAGTGTTTCACTTTAATGACGAATCTCCAGTCGAAATAAATTTTATCGTTCAAATAAACAGTGTTCTGTTACGCATTGTGATTGTTACGCTGCTGTGCGCGTTATCTTATTTGGTGTTTGAAGGAATTTTCTTGAAGGAACATAAAAGGTAGTCGGGGCGAGGCAGACTAGTAGCAGGGTGCAGTGCAGTGATAGCAGAAATGTAACATAGTGATGGCTAGGGAAGTTTTTGTTTATCGTCTGGCGAGACAGTCCATTGATTTTTGTAGCATTTCGTTACTTTAAATATTACAGTGCTGTTTATATCCGGAAAATATTGATTGGAAGACTGACGAGATAAATAAGTTATATTTGGAGTAGTGCTGGGTTGGTCATGCAAGGAATTATTTCAGTATGTGGAGCGAATGATGAATACTGTCGAGGATACTTATTGCAGGTGATAGTGTTCCATGTCTTGGCTTGCAAAAGTGTCAGATATTGCTGGTCGTGCCGAAGATTTGCTTAATCAAATTGATCAAAATGCTGCTATTGTAAGATTTGTTCAGTTGTCAACTTTTTTCTTTGTAAGAGCAATAGAAAATCAACTGTCATATTATACAATTACAAGGCAACTGAACACACAGTACATTGCAGTCACTATTGACATCAATTGTAAATTATTTTAATCAATGGGGGTGCTTAGTGTTTTTAGTGTTAAGCGAAAATAATCATCATATACTGAACATTACTTAAGAATAGAAATTGTTTCTTACAAGTGGCTAGGCAAAACTATGAAGTGAATGATTTCTTCCAAATTTCTACTTTATTTATTGGAGATAATATCTAAGAGATTCATGAATTGAGAGATGTTATAATTGTAGGCATTAAGAAACACAAAGAAAGGTGCTGGTAAGTGTAATTCAACAATAGGTTTGATTGATATTGAAGAGCAGAGGACAAAGAAATTGGAAAAACCTCAATCGGAAATTGTGGAAACAACAGCTAAGCATCACATAAGGTGTGTTTGCTTATAAGAAACGTATCATTTGATCATTAAGTGATGATCATTAAGTGTCATTAAGCTATACTTTCATTAATTATTAGCGTCAAAATATTCGCTTAATAAACTCGAGAAATTTTATACGTTACAAATGAGAAATCTTTGACAAAGTTTTGAGTTCACATAAGACGTTAGTCTTTTCAAGGAAATTTCTGTGATTTATCTGAATTTCGTTTATTAACCCGCCAATTGTTTTCGTCGTTATTCCAAACCGAATAAAATCCTTAATGTGGCTTTCTGGAACAGATATATCTCGAAATCGGGACGCTTTATTGCTGAGGTTTTCTAAAAAGTAAAACAGTTGAAGTCGGATAGATATTATTAGCAGTGCTTGTTCACATAGTGCAACAATTTTCTCTGTTGTATTAGTCATAATTGCTTTAATTTTGAATCATTTCACAAATTTTTTATTATGAATAAACTTTCCAGAACAAGCCATACATATTCGGTCTCAGGCCGAATTCGTAACAAAAAAAAAGATGATGACTTGATCGCTTATTTGAATAATTCAAATGAACCGACATCGAGCCGCTGTTCTTCCGTAGCAAGCTGTTTTTCAGCACCAAATCCTCACATTGCAAGTTAGAATTCGATATGTTTCATCTTCACTCCAAATATTTGTAATTTTTGTTTCAGCGTAATTTCTGGGAACTTTCTACTTCTTATGTAAAGCATGTCCTTTCCACCTTCGTTTTTCGCTGTTCATCTCTATGTTTTTTTCTTTACAGATGATTTGAGGTGCTTCGATTTTTAGCAGTCGAGTTTTTTCTTTTCAAATATACAGCAGTAACAAATGGAAGCATATTTAAATTTTAGATACCATTCAAACAACACCCGAACCATATACACCTGAAGAATATCTAAAGATACAACATTCAGATACTTTGAGATGTATGCATATGAAAGAAAGTCAGATAGCCGTGATGTCTGTTCGACTCCAGGTAAAATTTAACACGTAAATTATTTACTATTAGTTACTATATAATTATTACTATTAGTTACTATATAATTAGTTCATATAATCTTAACGGTTTCTTAGACTCATTTTCAGGAAGCAGAAGAAGCTAATATCAAAAAAGATGCCCAGATAGCGGAACTCGGGAGAGAGCTGAAGTTAATGAAGGAAGAACTAGAAGCAGGAAATGGCGACATGACGAATGATCATTCATCCACTTTGAAAAAACTCCAACGTGAGCATAACAGAAAAAAAGAAGAATTCGAGAAGCGAGAACAAGGTTATGTGAAACGTTTGGAATCAGCCAATAATGAAAATTCGGAGAACGAAAAGGAACTGCAAGAACTGAGGGCAAAAATCCTGAAAATGGAAGTGAATGAACAGAATTTGACGGAAGAGGTATGCAAATTTTGTTATTTTTTTCAATTGGGATTTGTTTGATTAATTTTGTAATAGTTTATGATTTCATAATTTTTTACACTCAAAGAAATTGCAGATAAGACTTGCGAAGTATAATCTAGAAGCGAACAAACATGAATTTGATGAATACAAACAAAGAGCCCAAAAGATTCTGTCTGCAAAAGAAAATCTTTTAACGTCTTTGAAGGAGGTTTTATCTAAATATTTCTTCAAATAATTCGCATTTGTTTATATATTTATTGTGGCAGTGGCATTATTTATTGCAATAATGATTTCAAGCACATATGATTGGTTAAAGCTTGTATACATTAAGATTATATGTTTTGCTATATCTACTGTTATTAATTTTGTATGAAATTGTTTCAGTATTAAAAAACATTTGTTTATTATGAATAAAAATAGTTTTAGGTTTTGCAGTCTTGTTTTACAAGTTTTTAAATTTATTTTAATTTTAAAGGACAGAATTTGTAGAATTCTTCCACTGGATCAGATGGTGTAGTAAACAGTGTCGAACTGGAAGAATTGCGGTGTGAACTTGGTCTATTGAAAGATGATCTTCAACAATCACAATTTGTCATCTACAATCTTAAGGGAGATATACAAGTAGTCGCAATTCTGATTTTCATTTTAATTTCTATTTGAACTGAATCTGGAGATATAATGTAGCTGCTTAGTCCAATATATGTCGGAATACTAATCCCGGTCTTTGGTTTTTCTTAGACCATTTGATTTTTTTGAGATTTGCAGTTTGTCTTTTTCGTAAATTTCATATACTCCCAGTGCAGTGGAAACGAATACACAGATGTTTCTCTCAGATATTTTTTTCAGGAAATGGAAAATAGACTACGTGATGAACAGCGAGCTTCTGGAGCGCAAAGAGAAAACCTTTTAAAACAGATACATCACCATTTATCACAAGCAAACCAATACAGGGAGCAGATGGAAAGAACTCAGCTAGTTGGTACTCTCCTTTGTTGAACAACTTATTTAATGAAAATCTCCTGTGCAGTACGTTTTATAGGTTGACTAATATAGTCTTTGGTTTTATTTCTTGATAGTTTATGTGTACCTTTATAATACAGCAATCAAAAATCACATTGTCTGCTTGGCTGTACAACAATCAAAATTTTCTTTTTAGGAATACGATTTTTTACAAGCGGAAATGCGTAGGCAGGAGGAAGCGGTTGAAAGAAAACTTGCTGAAAAAGATATCGAATTAGCAAAACTAATGGAGGAAAAAAAAACGAGCAAACGATATGGAGCTGGCGAAATGGAGCAAAAAATTTCGCTTTTAAGTGAAAAGTTGATTTCGAAGCAAACAGCTATTGAAAGAATTGAAAGCGAAAAAAGAGCACTCGAATTGCGGCTTGAACGTGCTGAAGTTATTTTTCTCGTGTTCTATTTCTGAATTTTAATTTGATGTCGTGTTCTAACTTTAGTCGAATGACATTAGATAGTACGTATGTTTTTACCCTATATTCAATGGATTGTCAATATTTGTAAGGTTTTTTTTTTTTTTTTTTAGAATTTCTTATAGTTCCATTTGAAATTTAAATTAGTTGGGCAATAGTATTTCTGTGCAAATAGAGCTCCTTTCTATGTATGTATTTATGAGATATTTTTTTGTTTTGTTAATATTGCATTGTTTCAGTATGCATGCAGAAACGTTGAGACAGCTGCAGTTAAAGCAGTTACGATTGAAATGCGTGGAAGTGGTGCCAATGCAAACATTGAAAGTTGTTCGTTATTTAAAGTTTCACATTCGGATAGCCTGCTTATTCGCATTGCTAAACTTGCAGTTTGCATTTTTGATCATATTGGGTAAGAATTTTATTAGTTTACTAACTTTCCAGCAAGTTTCAGAGCATTTAGAAATATATCCAACCTATTTATTTGCCATTTAATCGAAAGGTAATGTATGTGAGTTATGTACATTGATAGTGTGGAGTGTTCCTGCTAGTAGTTTAATTTATAGATTAGTTTTGGTCCTCGATTTGTACTCCTCCATATTTTAGTTATTTTTTTCACGTTGTAAATTGTACACATGAGTATTTCTTGCTCATTGAGTTCATTTATAATACACCTGAGGTCTTTAGTTTATGAATTCATTTTAATTTATTCATAAATTTGAGTATAAACTAACCTTTCATTTTTTATTTATTTTTATTATTTTCATTAGTTTTACTAATTCGAGTGAGATTTACAAATTTCTTTTCAGGTTACGTCTAGCAGTATTCATGCGCAGCCCTATGTTCCGTTTCTTTTTCTTCATATACTGTTTACTGTTACACTCATGGGTATTCTTTATTCTATTCACTTATACACCTGAAATACATCCTCTCTGATATCGTCGATATTCATGGCTTTGTTTGTCAAATTTATCCATAAATGTGAATTAATATAGCGAAAATCATTTATGTGCGTAGGCAAATTTTTATACATCTAACTAAGTTGAGACTGGCTTGCAACATGCTTCCCGTTTTCATACTGTGCCTAAATATCAACTGTGATATGCAAAGAACTTCTGTAAGAAATCTTTCTTTCCTTCTTTGAACTGTTTTGATCTCATTTTTGCATAGGTTGTCTAGACAGTTCTTTATGCTTGAAATATTTCTCTTTCATTATTCAGTAAATCATACAAATAAGTGTGACTTTTTATCTGTGGTTTTGGAAGCCATACTTTTTTGTAATTATGATATTTATCAAAATAGAGAATCTATTAATAAAATGATTGGAATGCGTAATTTTTGGAGCAGTTGTGTTATCTGATTATGTATTTTTACAACTCAAACATGGATAAATGCCACGGAAGGTTTTGTGAAGATTATTAGAATTTTATTTGAAAGTCAGGTAATCAGTAGCGAGCATGGTTGGATTTTCAGGTAGTTGATGCTTACATAATTGCATTTCTTAGGCTGCGTTATTTTGAGAGCCACAGATCCGACCTTCACTTTATATAAATTTTAGGTGTGCGAATCAAAAACTAAATTGGTTGCTGTAAAAATACTGTTCGCGTGTCGAACGTGTTGTTCGCATGTCGGAAAGTATAACTTCTGCGTTGCAAATTCCGCAATCTTTACGTTCAATTGCACATTATGTAAAAATAGGTGCGGAAAATGCAGATCGTGATCCGATCGTCCATTATTGGTGTAAGTTTCATGTCCTTTTGGGGATATGAACAAGAACTTTATTGCAGGAATCTTAGATTTGTAATTATTATGTTTTACTTATGTGAAGATTTGGATTTAATAAATGAAAAGTTCCACCATTTAGGTCTGTTTTATGCAGTACAAAGTGGGATGGATATAGGCAAGAAGTCTCCAGAAGCTCTGCAATATCTTACGTCATTACTTTCAATATTGGAAGATGTAAATTTTTTATGAAATGTTTTGCTTTCAATTTACACGGATTTTTAAAGAGATAATTTAATAATCTAGTAGCTACAGATGAAGAAGAAATTGGGAGGAGAAGAAGCGCTCACGCAAGATTTGGTAGCCCAAGCTCACATCGAAAATTTTGCAATGAAGCTGTTCGATTATGCCGACAAAAATGATCGCCAGTCGAATTTTACGAAGTAATTTTGTATAGAATTTCGCAGATCTCGATGTAACGATTTTGAAGTTTTTTCTATTTGGTTGAGAGTGGTTAGTTAAGAATCTGAGTTGCGAAAAGATGCAGCCTTCATAAATCAGTACGTTAGAAAGACTCTATCTGTTTCTCCTTTTTTTTTTTTTTTTTTTTCTCACCTCTCGAGAGGTTTTGTATACTTAATTTTTCATACATTTAATTTTTTTTCTTTTATAAAACAAATAGATTTCTTGTGTATTTTGTAATATTTCTGTTTTGTCCATAATTTTCAGAGGTGTTATTAGGGCTTTCTATACGGCTGGGCACTTAATCGATGTCTTGTCCCTTTTTGGAGAATTGGATGAAAATCTTATTTCATAGATTTCTTGTGTATTTTGTAATATTTCTGTTTTGTCCATAATTTTCAGAGGTGTTATTAGGGCTTTCTATACGGCTGGGCACTTAATCGATGTCTTGTCCCTTTTTGGAGAATTGGATGAAAATCTTATTTCAACGAGAAAGTACGCTAAGTGGAAGGTTGTAGTACAGTTTTTTTTTTTTTAATTCTACGTTTTTATCTCCACTTCACTTAATGTTCATTCAGTGTATTCTCTTGGTCCGATTTCTGAGTTTTGTTGCATATATTATTAAATATTAGCTGGCTTATGCAGTTTCGTTCAAAATTTTATTCCAGGAAAAATTTTAATTTTCAAGTCAGGAGCATATTTCAGGCTACATATATACACAGTTGTATGAAAAATGGAGAGACTCCGAAACCTGGATCAGCTGGCAGTCATAACGATGACCTAAACGACTTTAATATGAGAATCCCTCGAAGTATGCTTTATTTTCGTCATGATCTCTTATTTCTACCAATATTTTGAGACTCTGATGAAACTAATGTAACCTATTTTTTTTTCTAGCAACTTTCTAAATATTTAGTAGAATAGTCCAAATTTTCTTGAAATTAATATCTTGTAGCTGAAACGAGAGAAGAGCCTCAGTCAACTATGGATGGACCCGTTCCGCCTAACAGTGTGCTAAATCCTATCGCTTCTTCACATTTAATTTCTGACTCAGCCTCAGTGCTGGAAACTTGTGAAAACTTACACATCTCAGATGCCAAGGACTCATCGCCAGAAATGTGTGAGAATAGTGGGAGATTAACCTTGGATGATTACATGGAAGCTCAGAAGTATGCAAAATATGCCGTAAGTGCACTGAGTTATGAAGATTCTAAGACGGCTATCGAAAGTTTAATGAAAGCACTTGCAATCTTAAAAAAATGAAATTATTGAGGAATGTTATCTTTATGAATTGCAATTTTTATTGTTCTTTGTTTTCAACATTGCTCTTAAGTTAGTTTCTGTCACTGCTTAGTTTGTTTGGATAGGAATTTTATGTTATCAATTTTTTATAGTTATCATTGTCACTTGACTTGTTTGTTTCATGGGTTTCAGTCATTTAAAATATGTTTGGAAAATGATCTTTCAGTTTCAATCTTTGAAATTTTATTTTTGAAACTCTTTTTTTGAAAATTTCAGCGCTATGAAAGATATCTATCTATAAATGTGTGAGATGTGAGATGCATTAGGTGGATATCGGTCTCTGCTTTAATTTTTATGATCATTTTTAAATTGTGATCTATTTTTATTCAGCGTAATTTATAATTTACTGTATATTCATATACAAATTTTCACGTGTTTTAATAAAAGTTTTCAGAATTAACTTTAATAGAAGTTTTGATGCAGAAAACGCTTATTCTCCTTATTCATCCCTATTACTGGTTGTATGTAGTTAAATCGTGGCCGATGCGAATTTGATCCAATTCTTAATCAACGCTGATGATTATTTCGAGTGATTTAAAATTATTTTTCACCACCCTATTCTTCAGAAAAAAAGTTTAGAATCTTTTAAAGAGAATATAACAAATTCAAAACAAATTTTAAGGAAGTCTGTAAGTACTAGTCCTCTCAAATTAGGATATATTATCTTGTAGTTAAGAGTGACTTTTCATATGTAGACTTGATTAAGGATCCTAATGCTGGAAGTGTAAATCTGTCTGTTGAATGTTATTGATCTGATCTGTAAGTTCCTGTTGCAGGTAACGAGCAGCGAGAATATGGAAAAAAAGAGGACTAAAGCTAAGCGTGAAGATTATCGTCCATTAGAGTACATCTTTAATTTACATATTCCGGTTGTAAATCCGTCAAGTGAAAAATAGCTTTCATAACATTTTATGTAAAATTTTATTTCTTTTTTTCGGTGAATTGAGGTTAACATTTCTAGGTTTGTGCTGGGTTTACTGATTTCTTTTTAGAACAAAGGAACAGTCTAAGAAAGGAATTGTATTCAACAGGAAGTCAAAAAATAAAAAGAATAAAAAGGGACAGCATGTTACGAAAGAGGTCCCGTTTGTGTCTCCGTTTACAGGTATTGTTTATATGGTTTCATTTATTAGAAATAAAGCTTTAAAATGATGTTTACATTAAAAAACACTTTTGATTGACTTGATTAAGTAATGCTTCAGGTTTTCTCCGAATTCATTCCTTAAAATCATATTTGTAACAGCTATTGAAAACGGAGTTACCTTCAATTTTACCCGTTATTTAGGATGTTTACAGAAAGCTTGAAATGATTCCATTTTTTCACATTTAGGAGAACATGCAATTTTCGCTGTACCGCTTTCTTTGGCTGTCTTACGAATGGGTTCTCATGATGGAATTCCACTACCAGTTGTTGTAAGGCAGTGCATCGATTACATTAATGAAAAAGGTACCATTATTCTTCATCGTTTGACATTTTAATTGCATAATTAAATATCAACATTGCAAACAGTTATTTAGGGTTTTTGTAAGTTTTAACAACTACAAAAGTGAAGTCCTGTAAGCTAATTTTGTGCGGTTATAAATACATAGACCTTATTGAGGACTGTGTGTCGAAGGAATTCATCGGATTTCTGCGCCAAAAGCAAATTTGGATAAACTTGAAGAAGCAGTAAATTCGAGACATTCCATTGAGCTAAAAGATGTACACGATGCCTCGGGGTTACTGAAAAGATTTCTGCGACAGCTTCCTGAGCATATCCTAACTAATGAAAAACGACCAGTATTTGAAAAAATTGCTTCAAGTATGTTATGCTTTCAACCTACCGTTATAGTTTTTTCCTTTTTTATTTTTCGACAATTTTCCTTTTATTGCTTTTGTATTTAAGCTTCAAATTTTATATATTTCAGATTGTCCATGCGGAACGTTGTCACCATGTCGCTGTTTGGTAGCAGATATGTTGAAAGCACAACTGATTTCGCTACCAGAAGAAAATTATATGTTATTAGCATATATATTCATACATTCTCAAATGATACTGCAAAATAGTGGCAAAAATAAAATGGGTATGGCTGCACTTGGTTTGATCCTGCAAGCCACGCTCAATGTATCACAAGCTGTTGTTCGAATATTCCTGCTTAACGCTTCCGATGTCATTCTAATGAAATATCATTCTCCTTCTGTAAGTTATCATTTGGAGGGAATTGCATTTCTTAAAATTGCTTCATCTGTATCAAAATTTGCAATTAATCGTTGATTTATATTTTTCTACACCGGTTGACGTGTGAGGGGTTGTTTAAGTGGTATTATAAACTATGAACAAATATACCACTACAGAGCAACATAGTACAAAATATATAACCTTTAGTCCATTACCAATTCTCTTTTCCTTGTGTGTGTGTATTGATCAAAGTTTTCCTTTTTTTTATAAAACTTTTTTTGCTTTGAATAATAATATTACTTGCATTACATTTCAGATGGTATATCTATTCAAAGATGTTCAAATTAAACAGTAAGTTCTCTTGATTTCAGACATTATCTTTGATCACTTCATGCAAATTCGAATGCTCTTTCAGTTTTGCATCATTTGTTACTCTGAAATAAAAATGTAGCAGTTACCTGACAGATTTCTGATGTAAAAATTTTTATCTTCAACTCATTTCTTATATTTCTTTCAAAAATTTTACTTCCTAAAAAAGTTTTATATTTCAAAACCACAAATATTCCAAAACTTAATTCCTAAAAAAGTTTTCGATTTTTGAGGTTTAATTTTAATGGGATTATAAATACTTACACTTTATCACGCATTTCAAAAGTAGTTCGCTTCCCCATTCTACTTTTCTGTTTCTGTAAAGCTTTTCTATATTTCGGGTTACAACTTTCTGTTAGAATCGCGTTACTTGTGTTAATAAGAATTGAGACACTCTTGATAAGTAGTTTAATTTGAAAGTAAATGGTATTCGCTAGTTGATTCTAGTTTTGTGTGCTTCCTAAACATGTGGGTTTCTAATATTTTATGATATAAAAAAAAAAAAAAAAAACACTCACCCTTAAATGTCTGATGACAGCAACGATGATAGCAGTGGAGATGATCGTCAACGTAATAACAACAGCAATTATTGGTGCGGGATTGGTTTTGGTTTGTTCGCTGACTAATTCAGTTTTCATATCCAAGTGGTATAGGGCATGTACAATAGAGGATGTATTTTGATGATGCTCGGATTTTGCATTTTCATCACCAATTAAACCATCTTTCTGGAATGAATTAAGGATTTATGTGTGTGTCATACAAAATCTATAGCTTTTTTGAGGAAAGATGAGAAGTATAGATTTGAAGTATTCAAACGAGAGTTGTAATGAATCCTTTATTTTTTTTGAAATAACTGCGTCATTTTTTTATTTAATCGCTACTTTATTAGTTTGTATAGGTTGTTATAACAACAATAATTTCTACTGCGGAAAAATTAAAGCATGTCTCAACTTACGGCTAGAAATTTATTGAGAAGGCCTGTACTAATATCTTCTAGTTTTAGATCGTTATCCACTGTTGGCATTGTTGATATCGTTGAATAGATGGCATCATTGCTTGAATTATACATCTTGAATGAATCTTTAATTACATTCATTATTGCTTGTCCTTGTAAACTTTTCGGACGATTACAGTTTGTTTCGTTAGCGTGCAGTAATATGAAATTTTGGTCTAGCAAAACTGCTTCTTTGTACTTCAATTCGATCTCTTCTACAACTGAAATTAGGTATTATTTGTTAGACAAAAGATTATAAGAAATTCCTTGACAGTGTTCGTTCTATAATTTTTTAGCTTTTGTTACTCTTCGTCTTTAGCAGTTCTACCAAAATATATTTAATTAAAAATTGAACTTATTTCACCCTGATTTATTTTGATTCTGTTTCAACAAATTTATCATTTTTGTTAGCTCTGTGAAATTGAGAATTTAAAAGAGCATACGTGATTCCATATTTTCATCACACAGCCAATTGTTGTTTGATAAGTCCAGCAAACGTAAATTTTTCATATTTTCTAGTACACTTCGTGGTAATGTTGTCAGTTGGTTATTGCGTAATATTAGTCCTTCCAACCTTTCATTTTGAGCTTCCAAATCGCTTTCATCGATCTGCTGCAGTTTCCCGTTGCTCAAGTCCAGTTCCTTTAATTTTTTCTTTATATTTGAAAAAATTCGAAAATTAAGGGAATTCATCCTCTTGGATTTATTTAGGTTTAACTTTCATTTAAAACTTTTATTCACTTACCATCTCAAGATTTGGATTTCACTAGCCTTTCGAATATCTAAGCTCAACTAAAATGTTTGAATAAATTAGACCGTTTATTTTTGTTCAGAATCTGAATAATTTGAATTCAGCTGAAATAGTTTCAGATCGCTTACCTGTAGTGAAGAAAGGTGTTTGAGGATTTTACTAAATTCTGTGATGCTTATTTCACTCATATTTAAGCGATGGAGATTACTGAGTCCGTTGAAAGCATTTTCATCGATCTTCAAAATTCTATTTATTTGCGGAAACTGACTAAAGAAGGCAAATCATACAGCTTTTTTAAAATAATGCTTTCAAATTAGTACCACTTGATTAAGTGAAACTTGTTTATCTAAAACTTAGACTTTATTTTCTTCCATGATTTAAAACTTGCGTGCATTAATCGCTTATTGTGACGAAGATTTAGGAAGTTAAGTGTTGGACCAAGTTTGTAGAAAGCATTTTTTTCCAGAAATGAAAACTCATTCCATCCAAGATCGAGTTCTTTCAAATGTTCTAGTCCATCCCACCAGCAAGCTAAACTTTCATTTAGATAGTTTCCGGCAAGTGATAAGCGTTGTAGACTTGGTGTCCAAACAAAACTTCCACATTCCACTTCATTTAGTAAATTGATTCGTAAATCGAGCTATAAATTTTCATCACCATTTGTATATTAAATCATTGTCAATCATTCATTCACTTCTCTTTCACTCCTTTAATTTCATGTATCTTCATCTCTTCATACCTTTCTTTCATCAAATCAAAACTGCATTTACCTCTGTCAGTTTCGTAAGACCTTGGAATGTGTTCTTGTGGATAACTGTTAGACTACATTCGGGTAGTAATAGCTTTTCCAATTTGTTCAGTTCTCCAAATGTTCCATCTGTTATATTAGTGATACCATCGGCTCGACCCATATCTAGAACCTGGTATATCGATTTCGGCTTGTAAGCACACCTGTTATCTGATGATTTTTTGGGTCGCATTTTAAGGTTAAAAAAAGGCCGTGCAATATAAATTCTCTTCATATTTCTTTTAAACGTTCCCTTGAAATTTTCTAAAGCATTTAAATTTTCATACGATTTAATTCCTACTTCGAGTTCTTTGAGCTGTGAGATTTCGTCGAAGATATCGTTGAGAGAATTGTGATTTCCGATACTAAGCTGTTTTAAGGAATTGCGAAGTACCGATAGTGTCCCATTTTCTAAGGACGATATAAAATTTCCTTCGAGATTCAAGATTTCCACCTAAAAATGACGTTTAAACATGATGAAAAAAGGATTGAATTTATCTCCATTGAAGCCTTTGGAATAGTTGTATGAATTAAGAATCACTACTAAAAAACAATTTAAATTAAAAGGCAACATTTTTTATTTTCGTAAGGTTCTAAAATGAAAAGATAGATTCTTCAAGAGCAGTTTATTTCGGAAAGCAACCTTTAGGCTTAAAAATTTGCTAATAGGACTCACATGTTGTAATGTTTGGAAATCCGTTCTAACCAGATTAGTTAACTTGTTGTAGGCCAATGATAAAACTCTCAATTTCGTTAAGTTTTGAATTGCTTTTTGTGGAAATTGCTCTAGGTTACAGTTGGTAATGTAAAGTTCTTGCAAGTGCTCAGCTAGACCGTGGAATGAATCCTCATGAATGTTCAAGGGAGTGCGTTCAGCACATTTATCTGAAATTCAAAATAAAGTATATGAAAATTGATTCAAACTTGTGTATTTAAAAGTAGTTGGATGCCAGATAAGGAAATCATAGAGGAAGTAATGAATTTGTTAATTATAAGCTAACCGATGGATATGATTTGTATAGGTGCATAAGGATTATCGAAAATTTTTCCAGGTAGTACACCAGCGTCAAATTTAACACGGCTTAATGTCACCTTCAAAATTCATGATTTGGTTGAATGATAGAAAGAAGTGGAGGAATTATTATCTGTAAATAACTACAGCATAGTTGGATTGGAACTATAAATCTTATCAAATTTTGTTTTAAATTGCCAAACTTATAAACTGACAATAGTTTTCAGTTCTTATATAGTCTTAAAATTGGGAAATGATAGTTATGATTAAAAATATGGTTCAGAAAATTTAAACTTTTTCAGGGTGAACTATCTGATAGTCCTGTTTGTTTTTCCGATTTGAAGAAAAAACGAACCTGTTGGACGGTTTTTTTTGCAGCACTAACAGCAAGAAGTGCTTTTTTGAATTGTTCCAGAGTAGAACTGTACAAACAATTGATATGTACGTGACCACTATCCCGAACATTACAGAAGCAAAAACTTCCGTTATAAGAATCAACATTTGCTATTGCGCTAAGAGCAGGACAGCCGGAGAGTAAATCAGGTTGCTGCGCTTCCACTACAAATACTAGCAACAAAGTGAACAGCAAGTACGAATAAATCAAGATATCTTGAATTTGCATTTGTTTCATGTGGAATTTGATAACTACCGAACGATAAATTCTCGCTTTGCATGGTTGAATTTTTGTGATGTTTAGAAATAATTTCAAAGATGGAGTATCAAAAAAGGGAAAAATTAATAGTTGAAGTAGAAATTTTGTGAATCTTTCGTGATAGTGAAGTATGTTGGCCGGAAATAATTCATAGGATATCCTTTTTGTAGTTTCTGAAGTTGATTTGGGATTGTTGACTTCGTTTCTGGTTATTGATGTCAGTGGAATGGTCATCGTTGAAGAGGTTGTTTGATAGTGATGAAATTGAAGATGATAATGGTATATTGTATCAGTCACCAAACGACCCAAAATGTGATCTTTCTAAAGAAAATATAATAGATTTTCTCGTATAAGGGAGGTTCTTACTACTAGTACTGCCATTGCTACCATTATTCTGGTTTTCTTTGTCATACCCCTTCACCCCTTTCCTTGCGCTGATCTACATGTCGATATTTTCGTCAATTTCAATTTAATTTTTCTACCCGTCATCGTAATTTAGGATTCGAGTTTCTTTTTTATCTTCACAATCCTATGCAGCAGTTTGTTCATTAAATTTTATACAGCATATAAGACATTAAAAGTAATTTGTTATGTAAGTAAGAGATAAAATTATGAATAATGATCCTAAAATATGCACCATTTATGCATAATTCGATTTCATTTAAACATATTGTAATTATTGATTTGTTACTTTGCAACATGATAACGACCTATAAGATATGTTTATCGTTTTTAGTATTTTTAGATTTATCGTTTTTTAGATTTAGATGCCTAACTATTCTTTTAACTTAAAAAAATTCAGTGTCCTAAATGTGTACCATATTAAAATTTGAATGAGACTTATTATTTATGGCTTGCCGGTTTTAAAATGATCTACGTCCTATTCTTTAATTCTCAAATTCAGATCAATTAATCATGTTTAAAAAATTTCTGGCTATCTCGGTACTTTTTTCAAATAACACTGCTGAGCTCTTCCTCTCAATTCCAGTGTGCATGAAGTCGAGAATATTATTTTCATTGAAGAGAAATTCATTCGGAAATGAAGCGAGTGCTGCTTTTAAGTTAATTAAGAATTGAATGTACATATTGGCATGTCCATTGCAAGAAAATATTACTTTAAGATATGTGGCACCAAAATCACCAAAGATTATATGCGAAGGAGATTTGTCGGATTCCGAGGAAGGGCTTCGTGGTGAGGAACGGAAGCAACGAAGTCGTCTGCAGCAGCTTCATCTACAAGTAAGCTTTTATTAGCGACATTTCTTTATTAACAAAAACTGGAAATATACGTGATAATATTTTTCATGAAAATTACATCTATCAAATGCAGATACGTTTTTCCATCCTAAGCAATATGCATATTTTAAATTTTTGTATCTTTTCTTTTTTGTTTTAACCTGTGTAAAAAAATTTTAGATTGCATATTTTACAGTCAAAAAGTTTAATCATAATCAAACTATTTCAACACTTCAAAAAGCTCATATCTTTTTTTAGCTCATTGCTTTTTTGGCCAGAAATTCATCACTTTCTTGACACCCACTTTATTGTAGTATTTTTAAAACTTACAGATAGAAGAGCTTCGAGAATTAAATTTACCAACGAAACAAACAGAAGAAGAGTTGTGGGATGTACAGACTGCAATCACAATGCTTAGCAGAAAAGTAAATGTTTTGTTTTATTTCTCCAAAAACTCAAATATGCTTCCTCAGAATCTTTTCTTTTTACAGCAATCAGTCTAACCATGTCAAATGCTTTTATCACGAAGTTTTGAATTGAAGCAGGTCATATATGCAGAATAACTTGCAGAGGTCATATATGCAGAATAACTTGCATATATATATGCAAGTTATTCTGAGCTTTTGAGTTCCTTGCTATTTCGAACAAACATATCAGCTTATGCAACTATCACTAGCTATCCATTATTTTTAAATGTCGCATCTAACAAATATACTTCCCACCTATAACATTTCAGCTCAAAAGTATACGTATGGAAAATTCGGGAAAAATCAAAACACGAAAAAATGATGGTCCAACTCCAACATTGGAAATGTTTGAAGAGAAGCAATTACTAGCCGCTTGTACAGCTCTACGCGAGGACATCGCTCGTCATAAATTAGAAATAATCGCGCTGGACCAATGTTTAAATGCCATGGAAGTAAGATTTTTTTCTTGGTAGCCCGAGGTCATTTCTACTTCGACACTTGTTGGTTAAGAAACACGAACAGTCAGAAACAATGTATGCTCATTTTGATAGATTCTGCAGTTATATAAGTTGAAAATTCACCTGAGTATTTAAATAATTTTTTGTTGAGAATGTAACTGTTTGAATTCCCGGTAGCGTTGGTAATGCTCTTTCATATATGTGGTGATATGGAATATATGCAATTCTTTTCTTATCACTAGGCAACTGTACTTTCAAATATTCGGAAATTTTTTTTTTTACTGGAATTCGCAAATTCAGAATGTAGTTTGATGAAAGCTTATACTGATGCTTTCCAAATTCATACATTAAAAGATTTGCAAAAAACCTCTTCCTAAATGAAATATATATATATAATAGATAGCATATTGAGTTGAACATTTTTAAATACATTAGAGTTATTACAATTATGATGTTAGTATTTTTTCTTAATAATTCATTTTAAGAACAAAAGTTTCGAAACTTTAAAAAACATCGACGACGAGTATGGGGAGGAATACTGGAGGGATGAATGCTTAAAAGAAGAAAAGGAACGAGATAATTTGTTGTCCGAAATAGTTTCACTTCGAAATGCTTGTTGCCAGTTACGAGCTCAGATTGAACTAAATGCTGTTAAAAGGCTCACATTACTAGTTACAAGATTTTAGCTGTAAATAAATTTTCCCCCCACATACTGTATAAACGAAATGTTTTGTTACCATTCATATCTTTTTTTTTTTTTCATCTTACTGTTATTAACAATATAACAGAGAAAGACTTCCTGGAAACAAACCGAAAGGTTATCTAAAGTAAGCAAAATGTGAAAAAACAACCATTTCGAAACATACAAAATTGATACTAACCAAAAATTGAATAAAGACGGCACAAACTAGAGAAAAGTCTGTCTAATGCTTTTTTTTTTTTAACCCTTAGCTCATCATTCACTATGGAATTCAAAGTCCAGTGAGATTCCCATGATAAAATTAGAGGTCAAAAATTCAAAGGAGTCCCAATGCTCTTTCAAAACAGCGAAATAATATTTCATAAATTTGAAATGCAGTGCCTTCAGCAGATCGTGGTTAATGAGTATATTAAAATATTTCTATACTGTTATTGACAAAACAATATGAATTCCACCTAATTTAACGTAATTTAACATAGGGAAAAAGTAAAAATAAAGCCGTCAAAAAACTCTACCTTCAGATCAAATCTCTTGAAAGGCACTAAGAATTGAATTCGAAAAATTATATAATTCCTAAGAGACATTAAACTGTAGCTACGATAGATGAAGTGAAAAAGTTAAATGAGCAGAACGTTGAGAAAACTGGCACGCAGTACTATTCTTGAAAAACTTTCGGAAAACTCATCATTTTGTATGCGAATGATGCGCTTTCCATATTTTATGTTTCAATAAAATTTCGGATTTTAGTACTGCTAATTTCAAACTTTGATAAATTTTGATATCTACGAAATAAATATTAAGGTAAGAAACTTTGACTGACAATGTAAACAACATATAGGAAACAACAAACTTAAATATAAGCGAAGAATTTTACGATTAGTTCGTACGGCAGTGTTACATCATATTTTTAAAAAAGATCGCAAACGTTTCCTCTGATAAATTTACTACCTTGTTTAGAAACTAAGTAGGATACCGAAAAAAATTTGTCAAAAACCTTGCAACTTATGTTAAGAAAACATGAACACTAATATTTTCGTGACTACCTATTTCTTTCGGTTTGTGATAAAGCTATTTGTATCAAATGATCGCGCACTCCATCACCGTTTGGGAAATTACGGACCTGAAAGTATCAAGAACTTTTTAGGTTATGATATAAAGGTTACTTAAAATATTCTTTATTAGTTATGCATGATAGGAAAATTATGGAGAAATAGGTTTATAAAATGCTATTAATACCATTTTAACGGCATGTTCAGCATGTTCCCGAGCTGCAGTTCGTGTTTTTTGCAGACCAGTGCTGTTACCAACAATTTCCCAGGCCAATTCTATATCACCTTCTTTGGAAAAACTTCTTGTTATCAGTTTATTTAGCTCAGGGTATTCTTCGGCAGCGAAGAGAACAGGAGCTGTTGCAAGTCCTGGAATGACAAACTTGACTGAGAAATTAGATAGCTAGATCATTATCGAATTATAAATGAATTACCCAGCTTCAAATCATTTGCAGTCGGTTTTCCCGTAACAGATGATGTAGAAACATAATCCAACAAGTCATCAATCATTTGGAAGGCGATGCCTAAAGATTTCCCGTACTCGTATGCGGAAAGTTCGTCTGCCTCTGACACATCTTAAAATTAAAAAATTATTTATGTACTAGTCAGTGTCATGTCACATACAAATGCATAAGGTAAATTTAACAGAACAACCAATGCCAACTCAGGTGCAAAGTTTTAAGAGATTCATTACTGACCTGAAAGCATTGCAGCTGATTTGCAGCTATTCGCGAAAAGAGATGCTGTTTTTGAATAAGTCTTGGCCATATATTTATTGAACCTTTGTGTAGCATTTAAATCTGTCCCATCATTCATTTGCATGAACTCGCCTTTCACTAAATCTTCAATGATAGTTGCCATCACCGAAATAACGGACGGCCTTCCGATGCTGCATAACACCTGTGTTGCACGAGCCAGAATGAAATCTCCCACCAATACAGCCTAAAATATTTTTATTCTAACGACAATAATTGTAACTAATCACCACAATTTTTTTGCTTGAAGTCTATTCCTAAGACAATAAATTGATGTTTTTAATGGAGTCCCATATTAAAATATTAAATTAAGTAGGAGTTCAATCAAAGTTTCTCTCAAAAAATACTTACGTCTTACAAAATTTTAAATTCCCAAACAATTTAGCGATAACGACAGATATCAAATACATTATTTCTTCCAGCCTAAAGTCTTTCGCATTAAAATGACGTGTATAATAAGGTGATGGTATCTTGTTTTGTCCAGCGAAGAAACTGATTACCATTTTATTGCCCCAAAGTGCATTTATAGTTCGACTTCCCCGCCTTATATCAGCCTTATCGATAACGTCATCATGAACCAATGATGCAGTGTGTATCATTTCTGATATAACCGCTATTTTGTACTGATTTCTTGTTACTGTATCACGACCCGAATCTACTAACATCCTGAAAAGAACACAATCAATGTACTCTTGAGTCTTGAGATTTAAAATCGATGTTTCGCATGGCACGGCCATTACTTCAAAGATGAACGAAAAGGAAAGAACATGAAGTGGTCCTATACGTGATCTTGAAAGCTACATAGTTCTTAACAACGTCTACGATGTTATTTGAAATCAGAAGTTGGGAGCTATAAAACATAAAATATTGACAGTGCTTGTCATTATGTTAAGTTATGGAAAAAAACCAACGATTTAGGCTCAAACTGGTTGCATGCTCTAGCCATCAACAAACAAATGGTGGGCCGAAACAGTTTTCCGCCTTGATCAAAATAATATTTGGCCATTTCTTGGAAAGTTTTCGTGAATGCTGAACTTGAAAAACATGTCGATAATAATGATGGGCTGTTTTCTGCATTTCGCACAAGGGTTTCCATAATTTCAGACTGTAATTCACTGAGAGTTTGATGTAAAAAGAAGCATAATTCAAACTCGATGCTCAGTTATTCGATCTGAGGATCAACATATGGATGTACGAAAATACCTGAAGTGCTTTCAGCTTATCTCTGATAAAGCTGGGCAACCGTGTACTAGAGACTTCTTCGGCAGCCAGATATGAGCGATAAAATTTGCGAGTTCTTATGGTTTGAGGTGATGTTGTCTGATGTAAAACTATGAGCTAAACAAAATCATTATTTGGTATAATTTAAAAAAATCATGACTACCTGTGAAATAGTACTGTACCATTACAATCATTTCAAACAATTTAAATGTAATTTTACCGTTTTTATTTTTGCAAAAATTTCTCTTTCTTTTGGATGTGTAAATTTATGAAAGGAATAAATTTTACAAAGTCTAGAGTTTCACAGAAATTTTTAAACCAAGACAAGCGGGTAATATCATTTTCTGAGTAGCATAATTACGAAAACTAGTTCGTCAGGAAAAAAGCATACGATAATACACTTTTTAAGTTCAGTACAATTTTATACAAAGGTTCCAAACAACTGGATTATATTAGTAAACTGTACTCCTCCTTTCTCCCCCTTGTATTCGATTTAAAGACATCACACATATCAACACTAGCAATATACAACATTTAATTCACTGAGAGTTTGATGCAAACAAATCAGAAAAAATTTTACATTTTGTGGCAGAAGTGAAAAGGAAAGCTGTCGGTTCCAAATGGAATGTATACAATATAAACTCTTAGCACGCCATATCATATAGTCCATCGATTGAAATGAAAGCTGAAAACTTGAACAATTACCAGTAACTACGACTTAGTTAAAGGCTGTAGAACGACTAATTCACTGCTGTCTAAGCCTATCAGCAAGTGTCTTACTGCATCTATGCTCTACCTCATAACCTTAAAAATACCTCTACCCAATGCTTCTCACTTGACAACCGAACTTCAAACATTCAGTTTTAACAAGGCGGGCCGCGGTTCTTAAACCGTGCCTCATTGTGATTCCGACTCATTGGGATAGTGGGTGAGCATGCAGTCGTCCGGAAATGTCCGAGGAATCGTTGCTACTCTTTCTCCTTCTCCCTCTCCCTCTCTCTCTCTCTCTCTGTCATTTATTACTAAGCGATTCTTTAATTAAAAGGTCAATTGCTTCCTTTCAGGACACACACTAATAGATAGTGCATGATGCCACCTCATGATGAACAATATTTGGTGGAAGAAAAGAGTTGGAGTGAATTGCTTTCACATGCTCGATTATGGCGGAATATTTCAAAGTTATATTTACCATTTCTTTTTTATTATCAGTTAGGAGTTTGTTAACAGTGAAGAAAGTAGATATAAGTTCTCAAGTTTTCAATTCTAAGGCAAAAATAGCAAATGAATTTAAATGTTTATTCTGTGGAAATGTTGAAGAAATATTAAGTTAAAGTTCTGAAGGAGGCATTGTTTTACAGTTTAAACTGAAATTCAATAAGGAATGGAGCACAATCTGTAGAATTTTTGCAGGAAACGAATGAATATGACGCTGCATCATTTTTCACTGTATATTGATCATTCGGGTACGGAACGAATGCTCGCACTAGGTGGATCAGGGCAGTCTCCTCAAGAAACCATCTATACTGCTCCATTAACCCGTTCACCGTTGGTTAGCTCAGTGGCCAAGTTAACTTTATGTCCGTATTTAGACACGAAACCTAGTAAGGTTGGCTTTCATTCTTAAATTATGTAGTCCATTTCGATGATAGAAACTTTTTGCAGATATTGTAGATATGTACCTCACACGTTGACTTTCTTAAAATTAGGCATCATACAAAAGTCCTAGATATCAGATTACTTATGCTTCGCATAACTATGTGCCGAATTTCTCCACTTAACGGCTGCTGTGGAGTTTTTTGCCTTTTTCGCTTTTTTTTTTTAAAATGTTTCTAAAGTAAAAAACTAACGTAGTTGAGATGAAAAATTTTTTCACTAGATGTTTTCTGTCTTATGAATAGTAAAAATTTTTTGTCACCTAATTTTGATATTAGTGGGGGTAAAGTAAAATTAGAGCGAACAAG